TGTACCAAGCACAGTAAAAGCTCGTGATTTTGCACCACGTTAAAAAAAAAAAAAAAAACAGTACAAATGCAAAAATGTGTTTGACAAATCCATCAAGCTACATCAACGTAATGCCTGGTGTTTCTGGATTTCTCCATGCATGCTACTGAGAAGAGTAGGAGTCTGCCAGAGGCTTTCACCAAAGCGGAGCTGCCCCCTGGAAATGCAGCTTTCCGCAAGCTAAGCCCACACTCATGGTCAAGCACATGAGCTGGGCGGTCTTACACCCTCCATCTTTCTGAGGTCAGTTAAATTGCTGTGCATAGTACATGAGAAAGCCTGGTTCATTGTATTCCCCAAGCACCAGCTGACTTATTTCTTTAATTTGTAGATTTGCTTGGTTGTTTGTACAACCATCACAACCTGGCTCAGCCTTTGCTGTTTATCCACAGCATGAGTGTGGGGGCAGGATCTTTTTCCTTCAGTCCTTCTTTTCCCATCTTGCCTCTCTGAAATCTGTCAGGAAAAGAAACCAAGGAAAGGGAAACCATGCTGTGCCCTGCAGGCAACCACAGCACACAGCAGCAGCAGTGCCCTCACCAGCCAGGGTGCAAGGCCACCACGTTGAACATGGCAGACTGGTGACAAGGAGAGGATCTGCCGAGCCCACGGTCACCATCAGACAAGGCAATATGTTAACCGTGCAGCATTTCAGTCAGGAATAGTTGAAGGCAAAGCTAGAAACTGTGCCAGAGCTTAAACACAGCTCCTGGACTCATGGGTGGTGAGGGAAGCAGGGGAAGGGCAGGGATGCTGACAGTGCCCCAGGTGGGGAAAGCCACGCAGATAGTTGGGTGAAGCACGTCCTATCCCTCCCCATAAAACTCTCCAGATACCACTCACTAAAGGGAAGGCTCGGTGAAATGGCTGTGAATTAGGTGAATTGAGGTGCTGGTGTCAGCCCTCAGCCAGGACATGGTCCGTATGCCAGGAAGAAGCAGACCAGAGCCACCAGAGGCCGGCTGGCTGCCACCAGGTCATTGTTCCCCCAGCACGGAGCTCACAGCGCTGGGCCCCCAGCCCATGCGACTGCCACTGCCGCAGCTTCTGCAGGGGCTCCTCGTGCTCTGACAGGGACATAGAACAGAGTACAAAGGGTGAGAGGCTGGCATCCGAGAACAAGGCATATGAGCTGGACATCAGACATCACGGCATGACAGCTCTTCAAAAGCCTGCCTGGAGAGAGATGCTGCCTTCAGACAAATCTGGGCTGGGGCAGCAGAGCCAGCTTTGCTGCATCCAGAAACCCTGTGTGTGTCTTTCCAGCCCCCAGGATAAACACAGGTACCATTTTCAAATATATATTTAGGCAAAGAGTAACCTATTATTTAAATCTCTGCTGCTTCTCCTTCCTGCCTGGCTGCCAAATCTCTCCTTGGACAAATCTAGTTGTGTAGTCGGTCCTGCACTGGTCTCACTGGAAATGCTCCACTTCAGTTTCCCCCAGAACCACTGTAATTTGGGGTAGGTGGAACAAGATTTCCCCTTGGATGCTCACTTAGAGAAACACCAAGGGACTTGTGGCCATCTGGCCATGGATGATAGCAGGGCATATTTCTACGGGAACTGTATGTGGGGGGGGGGGGAAGTAGTGTCAGAACGTCTCGATGCTCTTGACAAGAAAACTTATTATTTTTCTTTAAGCGATGCATTGCATGTGGTTCCCTCGCTTGAATCACTCGGGTATCACGTTGGATCACATTGTACCCAAACTAATCTACTGCATCTATCAATCCATCTGTTTGTGTTGAAGAATTCCCAGAATGGGAACATGTCTTCAAATGTTTATTTAAAGTATTTGGCCTGGTTAAAGACTTCATATAGTCTTCAGGGAAATGAAGAACATTGCCCTGGGTTCAGCTGTGCTGCAGATTGCAACAGTAAGTGAAGGGCTGTGTGCTCTTCTGGGCTAGGAAACGGCTAGATGGGCTGGAGGGAAAGGGAAGGTGGATTGCTTAAGGATAGGAGATGACAGATAGCTTTGACAACTCACAGATTAGGAGCGATATGGAGAAGGGTATTTGTTGCTAGGAGAGTTATGTCCCAGTCCCCAAACTATTTTAATGCTGGGAGCAAGCAGCAGTAGGAGCTTTCTGTATGAGACCTGCACACACTTTGAGGAGAGGCATCAAGCTCTGCCATGCTTCTATATAAACAGTGCTTGCTAAATGGGAGGTATGCTTCTCCCCAACTTCCTAAAACCTCAGATTTGGAGAAAAAAAATAAAAAATGGTGTGTGATTGTCCCCTTCATGCTTCAGGAATACCTCCTATCAGAAGAGCTGGTGGCTGCCTGTCACCCTGCTACTCACCTGCCCTGTTCAATCAGCCCTGTTTGCTGCAGCTGTCCTGAGTTAGAGATAAAAGGGGTAAATCCCACCAGGCAGGGTCTGCTTTAGGAGGAGGGTTAAGCTGGTGGTGGGACTTGGAGAGCAGTGTTGTGAGGCAAGCCTTCAGGTGAGTGTTCAGGTGTGCTGTGTTGCTTTCTTAGTTGGGGCAGCAGGTTTCAGTGTGAAGATGAGAGTCTGAGGATGCAGAAGTTGCTGCTAAAATGTTGCCTGAGATGTTGGGTGAGGTGGTGAGGAGGAGCAAGAAAAATCAGAGAAGAAAAGGAAAGGTAAGGAGTGGCTTGGGGAACAGAAAAGTTGTTTTTTGCTGTATCTCAAGTCTGCAGATCAGAGCTGGGGGTGCTTTGATTTATTTGTTTATTCATTTCCCACCTACAGCATGGTTGTGGGGGACCAGAAGTGGGAGGAGAGTTTGGTTTTTACTGTGTTCACCATGTACCAGCTCTGTCTGAGCCTAGCCTGAGAGAGCCTGTGGAGCTTGTGGTCTCTTTCTTCTACAGCGTGATCTCTGCTGGTGGCAGTTTGATTGTCTGATGCTCTGTTGACAGTTAATGATTGCCACAATTTAAAAAAAAAAAAAGTTATTTACCAATTTTCTTTCCCGTGGAGCTGAAAATAATAGCAAAATCAATTTAAACCACATAACGCTAAGAAAACAAATAGATTATCCAAGATGACCAAATTAAGCTGCTCACAGAGCTCATGGTGATTCCGTTCAGTGGCTGTTGTGGGGCTATGAAATAATTACTGCTGGCTGCTGACTGTGTGTTGGGGCTTTCAGGGGAGCACTGGGTCTTCAGGAGGGCAGAGGGCTACCCCATTCAGTGGGAAATGTGAAGGTAACTGCAGATACCATGTAGGCTTAATAGCACTTTTTTATTATTATTTTTAACTATTCAAGAGAAATACAAATACAATAGTAGTGATATGAGGGGTACTTTCCAAGGTGAAATGCAGAAAACAAATTCACAGTAGGAACAAGTTTGTCTGGTAATGGTGTGAAGAGTCAGTTTTCTCATAGTAAAAGGCTGCGTGGGGTGGTGGGGAGCCAAAAGAAATACTAGAACAAAAACATATTTTAGGCACAAAAGCGGAAAAAAGGTGGGGAAGAGAATCAGAACTGGTGGTGGTGGTTGGTTTTCTTAGGCTGTCTCACTTGCAAGGCCACATCAGTTGTGGTAGGGTCAGACTGCTAGATCGCATGCTCTTGAATTTCCTTGCTCTTAATGATTTGCTCCTGAAACACCGGTTTCTGGTGTTAGAGACTAAGCTGAGATGCAACATAAGGGAAGAATGAGGCCTGGAGCACAGTGGGTTAGTCAGAGAGGGGCTTCTAATGATTAAAAAAAAAAAAAATGTTCTCCTCTCTTTGGAGAACGGTAAGTCTTTTAACAGTGACAGTGTTGGGCTGTCACTCTGTGGGGTCAGAGAAGGGAGGAGAGGGACAATGCCAGCTCCCCTGAGGGGACAGCTGCAGATGGGGGCAAGAAGTGAGGGCGCAGTCCCAAGGTGAAGCATTTGCCCTAGTGCCAAGCCTGGGGTGATGAATTTTGTAGATGTGAACTTAGTCTTAGATGGGTTTGGGGCACAGACTGTACCTTCTAACTCAAAACACAGCAGCAGCAATCAGCACTTTGAATCTGGTTTGCTCAGGTATTTTTTGCTTTATCCTCTTGCACACCTGAATGACTTAGTGGTGATGTTAGACCTCCCCTGGGTTGTGTGCTCAGCGCAGGCCAGGTCCTTGTTCCCAGCAAATGCTGGTCACCTGCCTCAGCTGGACAGCTTTGCAAGATGTGCAGTCTTTGGGTTCAGCATCCTGCCCAGCATTGATCGCCTTTGCATCACTTGTGATAGGGCTGGCCAAAAGTCCAGCTGGGTTGTGGGACCTTGTGAGCAGCCAGAGAGCCCTGTTAGAGGACTCCAATGGCCTGTGTAATGCTGGGCTGGCAGAGAAGCTGGGAATGTCTGCTGGTTGCCCAGGGTCAAGGGAGGGGTGAATTATTGTAAGTCACAAGGGCACTGTCACCACAACTGCTCATCCCAAGGTTGAGAGGCAGAGGCTGGTCTTTAAGGAAAAGCTCTAAGGAAGGCTGAAATGTGGAGCCCACCAACAATTATTCCGAAGCCTTTAGGCCTTTTCTCCTCCAGTAAACACTGAGACACCTCTCTCATCACACTATGGCTCTGTCCAAATATAATGCAGTCCCATTTACACTTAATTTATTTTTCTACTACTCATGTTCTTTCATAGAGAAGAAAGACGAACTTGCCTAGATTTAATAAGAACAATTATTCTTTTTCCTTTTTCTAAAGACACGGCTTGAAGAATTGATGCAAACTTGCTGACTTTCTTCAGTATAAAAAAAGGAAAGAAACAGTTGAAACAGTTCCCTTGGTAAACAACAGATCTAAACACCTGGACACTTCAATGTGAAGTGGCATTCTTTATTTGAAAATTGGCTTTTTTTTTTTTAATGGGGGTGAAGTAACTCAAAGAGAAATAGAGTATCAGATGAAAGTGCTACCTTGAGAAAGTGCTCCTACTGCTAACTGCCTGTCCTGACATTGGGAAGATGCACAACTCTCTCCCTTCTTGATGAAAGCAGGTGGCTTTTTTTTTTTTTTTCAGTCTTCATAGTGGAGAGGAAACTGCTTTTGGAAAACTTCTGCCACTTTCCCTTTGACACCTGGGCTTCTGCAGCTTGAGGTTGCTTTTAATGTTATTGTGCGTAATTAAGTGGAGAAAGAAAGGGGCTTCTGCAACCACAGTGATGATCACTTGAATGTGTACACTTAAAACAGGATTAGCAGCAAGCTGATTTAGGGGATGGAGTTAGACAATGCAATCCTCCCAAATCTGGCTTTGCATATGGAAAAGGAGCTTGAGGAAGAAGGGGCTGAGGGCAAGCTTGCTGCCTGGCTAGTTCTAGGAGGGCAGCCTGGAGGAAAAACCCATGGGCTCAATGGGGAGGCATGAGCCTGGCAGTCTGGGAGGCTGCTTCTGCAAGGAGAAAGAGGCTGGCTTGCTGAGGGCCGTGGGATGGGTGGGTATGTGCATGTGGGGCTGCAGGTTGGGTGTGAGCAGAGGAGGACACTGAGCAGGCATTGTAATGCAGCGCACCGATGCCTGCTCACTCTGTTGCTGCACCTCCGAGACACTTGCTGTCTGGCCAAGGGAGATCTGAATGTGCAGCATCTTAAAGAGGTGCATCCCATCTCTGGATGTGCTGTGGCATTCTCTGGTTGGGGATGACTGTGTTTACTGGTTCCTGAAACAGCAGACCCCCCACAACTTCTGATAGCTCATCACCTCCCCAGCATGACATGGGGATGAAAAGAAGCCTTTCCTGGAAAGATTAGCTTTCAGACAGGTAGGATAAAAGGAAGCAGTGTGTTTATCCACAAATCAGATTATAATTCCAGGAAGCAAAAGGGAGGTGTGAGAATGCTTGGAGTTTGAAGTTAGATTTAAAGGAATAATTAAGGGTTTTGCCACTGAGCGATAGCAATGAGCTGGCTGGGAATAAATCAGATTGCACTTGGAGGAAGTGACCTGGAAATATATTACTGCCTGTCCTCTAGCCAAACCTCATCACCATAGGGCGTCATTGAGTGGTGGTGAGGTAACCCAGGCCAGAGCCGGGGAGGGCTCTGCCAGGGGCCAAAACCTGCTGTGCAGGGCTCTGGGGAGTGCTCAGTGGCCTTTGTTCCTCCAGACCACAGAAACCTCTGCTCTGAGTAGACCGGCCCTTGTTGGTACAGTTCTGTCTCTCAGAAATGCACACAATCTTTTATTAAAAACCCTACAGATGAGTTAACAGCTGGGAGAAGCTGGAATATGATTAATGTCTTGTGAATTAGCCCTGGAGGTGCTTTATGGAAATAAGATTTACAACACTATTACACGTGGTCCTGAATGCATTTTACATTTTTAAATGAGGAGAATGAATGTTTCTCTGCTCTGCTCCCTTCCCCCAGGCTCTTGCAGAAGTATGTGCCTGCCCGATGTGGGACAGGAGGCTCTGGGGCGGGGGAAGGCACTGGACCATGCAATTAATTGAATGATCTTACTGGCCCTGGCGCTTTATCAAGCAAGAAATCAAAATGCACCCTGACGTGTAGGATGTGATTACAAGTCATTAACAGAGGAATTATAGATGCTAGGATGGAAAGAAGGGATCTATTGGGCTGCTTTGTCCATCCTCTTGCTGCCAACACAGGATTGCTCTTGACAGCATATGCTTCGGTGCTTCCAGAATAATTTCGCTCCTGACACCTTCCGAGCAGCACAGTGCTTCAAGCTCTCCCATTTATTGCAGCGTTTCAAATGCTCTAGTTCTGAGTTTCCTTTCAGACTTCTCAAGCCTTTCTAGAGGGAAATGGTGATCTCTGTGGAGGCCCTGCCTGGGTACGTGCCCCCTACTGAGGGGAGTGCTCCTGGAGACCTTTCTTGGGATGAAAGACCACTCTGGGCAAATATCCCCTCCTGGGAGCCCTCTGCAGCCAGACCTGTGGTACCCTGGGCTTACCTCACTACCAGAAATAGAGTGAATGACCTTATGTAGCAGTAGCAAAACTCCCTCATTCTTTGTGTCACTGCATCTGGAAGAGGAGATGGACTCCTCTAGTCTTCTTTGGGGGGAAGGTGACAAACCAGAGGCATCCACTTGAGTATCTCTAATAAAGCAATTGTTTTATTGGTGATTAGGTGGTGGAAGAAGAGCTCTGAACTGGCTTTGAGCTCATACTGATTTGGGGGAGCTTTCTGTGCCCCAAACTCAGTAATTTTCTATGAGAACCTAGTGTTTTACAGAGCTGCGTCTAGGTGGAGACTTTTGCCAAAACACCTTGCCATTTGTAGGGGATCCTCAGTCTTGGCAGTGAGCCTTTCTGCTGAAGTCCTGGCTCTGCCCTAGGTGATCTCGGTTATATTGTCCCCCTAAATGATGCTACCCTATTAAAGGTCCAAGCAGACCCATCTCCTTGTCTGGGATGATACCCTGCCACAGGCAAGCTGCAGGCTATAGTTACCAACTGGCTCACGAAATACACTTCAGTAGGTGAATCAATCCAAGAGGAATCGGGATCCTCGTGAGCAGCAAGAGAAGCCCTGCTGGAACGGCACAAAATTCAGATAGCTTCTGGGAACAACCATATCTGCATGCACATGGAACCAAAAACGTGCCCAAAGCTGCTCAGCAGCAGTGAGCAGGGGCACTACAGGGCACGGTACCATGGATTGGCTTTGTCCTAAGAGCAGCCTGACTGCGGCAGGAGGCGGGCTCGTCCTGCTGGGCTCCCAGGGACCCGTCTCTGCCCCCTGTGCTCGCAGCAGAGCAGCGGTGCGCTGCTGGGGCGCTCTCCTCGGGGCTGGCAGGGGTGGCAATGCCTCGCCGATTTTAGTTTGTTTTTTCTTGCCATCTAGTGGCAGAATTTGGGAACTGAAGTCACCCTTAAAGTTGTCTCAGAAGGTTCCATGGTATAATCTCATAGCACAATCACGTATCAATGAGGCTTTCGCCTCTTTTTTTTTCCCCCCCCACAGATTTTATCTTCCATTTGGTATTATTCTTCCATTAGCTGTTGCCTTCCCACACATTCAGCCCGGAATCTTCCATGTGGAAGGGATTACATATGTTAGTTTAATAACCCGTGGTTCCCTTGGTGTTCCAGCCCCTCGCATTGCACAGCTTAAAGGCAGCAAAAAAAAAAAAAAAAATCCTAAAGATGAATACCCTGTAAATTTTCTGGAAAACAATTCAGAATAGATTGAAGAGAAGCAGCTGACCAGGGACTCCAAGTGTGCTCATGTGCCATTTTTGACCTTACCTCTGTACTAGTTTAGGCAAAAGAGCACTAATTCTGCAACTAGCAAAGCTCACATCAAAGTGTAACAGATAAGTAAATATTACTGACCTTTGTTTTTTAATGACTTCCAATAGAGCTATGTATCAGTGTATTTCTAAGGTGTATCTCCACTTTGTTTTTAAAGTCCCTGGATTAAAATATAAGTTCTGCCCCCAAATATCATATGCATTCACACAGGCATACACCTGCAAACTTTCTATACCGTTGCTGACATGAAGTTCACAAATCTTTAATCTGAAATTGAAATCTTCCAAGAACCCCTATCTGAAGCAACATGAAAGTCACCAGGCACAGACCTGTGCTTCTACCACAGAGGCAAATAATCCTGGAGATGTACTTCTATAAACTCTGCACTATCTTCTACAGCTCACTGCAGCTCTCTTGAAGATGAAGAAAATATTCCAGGCAGAAGGTCTCCATCCTTGCTGTTCTTCCTACAATAATAAAAAGGATTAGTGATGACTGTGTTTTCATAATTATAAAACTATTCTTTAATTTAAAAAAAAAAAAAAACTTCAGAAATGTTTGCTGGACATTCTGTACCTTTACCATAAATCCCAGTGTCATAGCACTTGCCTTCTGGAAATCTCTTCTTGTGGCCCTGGATCCACTATTCTCAGACCCTCTACAGCTAATCATGCCATAACTGACCAGATTGTACACATGAATATACACACACACAGTGCTGATTGATGTAGTGTAGTTTGATTTATGGCAATTGATTTTGTTGATAGTTAACAGCATTACAGCAACTAGAAGCAAGTAACTGCAACAGGTTGCTGATCCGTGACTTTGTGTTTTTACAAAGGGCTCCTAGGGAAGCATGTCAGGCAAAGGTGCTAGAGATGGCTTAGCAACCTCAACTATTTTTTTTGGGGGGGTGGGGAGGAATGGAGGGGAAAGAATATGACTATTGGACAGAAGAGGGTCTTGCTGCTAAAGGTACAGTAGTAGAATAATAAACCTGTCCTTAATCGTACATATGAGTGAGTGAAGATTGCAACTCAAAAGCAAAAAAGTTGGAAATTACTGGCATTAAAAAAAAAAAAAAAAAAATACCACCCCTGCTATTTCTTGTGAGGCAGCACAGCTCTCTGTGCCTGTGCTGAAGAAATGTGCTTGCTGCATGCAGGAGTTTTCCATAAGGTGTGTTAGGATTTGCTACTTAACTCCTGGTGTGTGTTTTGGTTTTGTTTGTTTTTGTTTTGTTTTGTTTTTCTCTCTGTATTTATACAGTGCCCTGCCTGACTCGGGGTTGCTGGATATAATGAACGATATGGAATTGCAAAACCTGAATTTCAGAAGAAGTACAGAGGTGCCTGGGGCATAGTCTTTGCACATCTCTCCAAGGACAGGCATTTAGTAAAGCAGTTGGAGGAAGCCTTCTGTCTCATGCAATTTGGGGTCTATAAGGCACTGTTTTACCTGCAGTCACACATGCAGAAAGTATCTTTCTGCTTCCCAAAGTTCACTATTTAATGGTTTCTTTCTGAATATTTAAATGAGAAATACAGCTGACAGAACAAGACTAAGTGAATGGGGATAGAAAAGATGAGGTACTTCACTATTGGTTTGGGGTGGATTTTTTGTTTTTGTGTTTTTTTCTTTTCCCCATATAAAATTTTGTCCTTTCTTCTCCACAGCATTTGATACTGCAAAGCATGCTTTTATCAGCTGCCAGAATGATGCGTGGTCTTTGGGTGTGCTCACAGAAGTGGATATGTGTAAGTGAATCTGCCCCCACCGTGTCACTGCGTGCTATTGCCTTGTGATATATCATATTCCTATGTATATAGGAACTAAAAACAGCAAACACTTCTGGTTTAAATGTGCAGTGTCCATACCAGCCTTTTAGCCAGGCTCACATTGTTGTTTGGACTCTGATGTTTTTGATGCAGTGGCAGAGGAGATGTTTAATGTTCTGGCTCAATAGGTGTTTGGAGGTGAGGTGGGCTTTGGTCTGCCTGGGGAGACTAATGGTCACTGTCCTGCCAATTGGCACAACCTCTTGAGGTCCCAGAGGGTTTTAGGAGGGAAGTGCAGTTTGCATTCACCCTGCTGGGCACCTGGAGGCTCTTGGCTTGTGGGGAGGACCCCAGCTGCAAAGGGAGTTTCACTGGTGAAGCCATGGGCACCCATGGGTGGGCTGCATCCAGTTCCTTGTTCTGCTTCAGACATGCATGGTTCAGATGTCTCCATACAAAGCTTTCACCCAAAGCTGTGTTTGAAGGCTTTAAAGAGAAATAAGCACTTCTAGAAGATGACTCCTTCCAGTCACTGCAGGGAGAGATGTGTTGTGCTTTGGGAGTGGTGTAAAATCCTGTCTGTCCCTCTTCTCAGCCTGTGACTTTCTTAGGTCAGGCAAACCATTAATCTATTTTGTGCCTTAACTCGTTCATGATGATAAATAGAAAGTATGTCAAAAGGGCTTCACTGCGTTATAATGAAGTATTCTGTATTTCTATCACACTTTCCTGCTTTGCATCGTGCCATGAGGTTAAGACCATAAAAGCCATGTAGGAGATTCTGACTCCCCCTTAATGATCTTTAACTTCTTCAAATGGTTTTTGTAAATCTTAGCTTACGTTAACTGCTAGCCTATATTTATGGCTCAGCAACCATAAGCAAGTTATAGCTGATAAATGAGGCAAAAGCTAAAAAGGGAAATTTTCTGACATCACAACGGATTTAAAAAAAAATCATTTGCATCTATTCTGGGAACTCAGCTGCCATGCTGGCACTACATGCATTGTCGCTGCAGCTTGAAGAGCTGTCGTAACTGTATGTGGAGGATTCAGGCAAGCAGGATTCAGTTTTGTCCCTGCTATCCCATTTCCTACAATAAAACACCTGTAAATTGGAAAGAAGTAAAGCCCAGCCAATGTCTGGGGTGAGGGCAGTTGTTGCAGCAGCCTTAGCAGTTTCTTACAGTCGTATCCAGCACTTAAGGCTACTTCTCTATCATATCTGCCTCCATCTTATGTTTTCACTCCAAAGGGCAGCACAGCTCTGCCAAGAAGCAATGCTGCTTGGTGGTGCTGATGCCTAAAACAGCATAAGGAAAGTGTGGCCACCTTCTTTCCAGTTCCTCTGGCAGCAGGACTGGGTGGCTGGGTACTACAGGGCCTGCCCTGTGTCTCTGGGCTGATTCTGGAGATGTGGGTTTAGCACATCCCCCTTCACGCATGTGGCCAGCACTGAAGAATGGTAACTTAGCAAAAAACACAGAGCTGGCTTTTAAAACTGAGACATGAAAAATAAGTCAAGTGCACTTCATGCTTCTCTTTCAATAGCTTTCTTGCTACAAACACTACCATGAGAAAAACATCTTTCTGCCAACCAGTGCTGTACAAAAATGTAGCATGCAGGCATCTCGAGGCCTGCAGAAGCCTTCAGATGCTTACAGTTTGCTGGTTACACTAATGTTTTCCCTTGCCTGACCTATCTCCCCAGGGCAGCAATAAATATAACCAGTTTTAGTCCACTACTTGGCTGCTAATAGTCCACTTGTAGATCTCAGTCCCAGCTGGGCCTGCTTCTGCCCAAAGGCGGTTGTGTTCAGTAAGTGGCTGCATGCATTTGCGAACAGCCACTTACAATAGAAGCAGGTGGCTGCCATTTTTCATGCAAGAAAGCTCTTTGGAGAAAAGGAAAGGAGGGAAATGGAAAGAAGAAGGGGGAAAAAAATGCAAGGCATCTATGAGAGGAAAGTCTCTGTGCTGCCCTGGTTAAAATGGATAGAGACAGAAAGTGTACATAAATTAAAAGATAAAGAGAAGCACTTTCTCAGGACATAGGAGGGAGAGGAAGAAATGCTGCTTCTCTGCCAACCACAGCATCCAGGACAACCCTCTCTGTTTTCAATTTCCATCAGTATGCAACACCTAAGTATTTTGCAGTGAAGCTGCAGCCCCCTGTACAGCTAATTTAAGCCTCCTGATTATGACTTCCTTCAGTGAGTTACCTTGTCTTGACAGCTTACAAGGAGTAAGTATTTTCCCTGAGGTGCTGCAGACCAGAGGTGGAAACCTGCAGCTAAGCACAAAGAGAGAAAATGGCAAGAAATCACTTCGCTGCAAGCTTCAGAGCTCTTCTTCCTTGAGTAGGCGAAAAAGGAAACTTCTAAACTGCCTGTCACATCCTCTCACTGGTAACAGCCATCACCTGGAAAGGGGACAGCACCGAGCTCATCTCTGGAAAGAAACAATAGAGGGAAAGTGCTGCAGAATGTTCTTGTTCAATGCCACTGCTGAGCAGGAGCTGGGTTTTTTGTATCAAAGGAAATTCTGCTATTTTTATTTATTTTTTAATGCATAAGTGTCAAAAATGAAGCCTTTGAAATATCTTTGCCTTGTGACAAGTTGGGGGGAGGCACTATCAGTCTATCAAAAGACTAGATTTTGTTGTAATATTACACTGAATTCCAGTCTCTGTTCTGTTCTACTACTCAATACCTCATCTATATGCCCACATCATTTATTTACATGAGCAGATTAGAGAGGGTGGTTAGCCACTAACCTTTGACTTCCCTTTCACTACAGCCATCTGAAGGCATCACACGAAGCCCCCAGGAGCTGGAAGCAAACCAACGCCTGTGGTTCTTCACTTGGTGGTAGCTGACCCATGGGCCTCCCTGCAAAGGGACAGCACAAAGGTAAAAGTTTACATAGGATTGAGGGGAAAATGGAACTGAAAGGATTTTGAGAATGACAGAAAAAGTATTGCAGTCTTGCCCTGCTCTTATCTTCCTTCCCCTTGCTGTTGGTTGATGTTAGGAGATACTGGGACCGGTGAACAGTGGTGTGAGTCATTATGATGCTCTCAAACTTAGAATTTTGTCTTATGAATTTTATACAAGTATTCTTTACTGTAAAAAGTATGTTTGCAAAGTAAAAGATGAATTCTTACGAAATACTTTAACTGATGTGTTAGAGTATTACCAACTAAATGTTTTTCATTCATCTTTTAGAATAAAATGTCAGTTTTGCATGTTGATATTCCATAATTTCACAAGATGTTTTTACCCCTAAGCACACATCATTTTTGAGCCACAGTCAGTCCTAGGTCAGGAATTTCTCAGAACAGTGTTTAACATCAACTCCTTAAAAAAATGAAATGTGAAAAGCTATCCTGGGTGCAACTAAGATTTGAATGAGTTGTAAATGCTAGTTGTACTGGTGTGTAGATCATGTCATTCCAAAATAACTGCAAAAAGTGCACTTTTCAGGGATGTCTGGATTGGGGGAACCTGCTTGAGCTACCATAAGAGGGATTTTTCTAGTTATGAGTATCTCATGACTCTGGTAGTCAGAGGGTGCAGAGGCTTCCCTGCTCCTCAAAGGGCTGAGGTTAAGACTGACAGTTGGCTATTCCCACTGTGGATTTCATAGCTGGAAAGTACAGCCCTGCTTGTTCATCACTTCTGGGCAGGAGCGTTCAACACCACTGGTTGTGTGTTCACACAACACGCAGCTGCTCCTTGCTCCTTAGCAAGCACTGGCTGGGCTGAACACGGAGGGCTATGCTTTACAAACTGGGATGCGTGCTGAGCAAACAAGGGTCTCTGTGCAAGCTCACCAGTGATTCTGTCTCCATGGACAAGTACAAAATCTGTTGTTGTGTACCTTACCTTACAGGGAGTCTGAAGATTGATGGAGATGTCAGAAACTGGCTGGAGCACACCCAAAGCAGCAGGAAGTTGAAGATTGCTGGGGTGTCCTCACTTTCTAAATCACAGGTGATAATTTCATTATTACTTTTGCAGATGTATCTGTGGGTATCCAAGCAGTAGATTTCTTCTTTACTCTTCTAATTGGGATGAAGAAATAAGAGCCTTTTTTTATTCACTGGGATTTGGTGAGGATTGTGGAGATGAGATGGCTGCTATTGCTCTGTCAGACCCTAACAAACTCTTTCCTTCCAGGGAGCTGTGAGCTGCTTTTCTGCTTGGGCTGGACTGACCTGCAGCTGCCTGGAGCTCTGCAGCAGCACCCAGAGCATGAACATGGGGCACTGACAGACCCTTTGGACCTTCCCTGCTCGGTAAGTCTAGATCTGCTTGATGCATGATAGATTGAGACAGCACAGCAAGCAGTCATAGGCAAATCACACATTTTGAGAGTCAGCAGAGCTCTGGAAGGAACAGCCTGATGAGAGCCACACTGAGCATTACCTCTGCCATTCTGGCCATGCCCAGTTGCTGCTTACTAACAGAGGGAGGAGAAAATGTTTTTTTTTTTTCCTCCCAGCCTAGATCAGCTGAAGCCAGTAACAAGTTTTCATCCTTCAAAAAATTATGTATAACTCAAAAACTATGAGACTCAGGGATTAACACTAATTTTATTAATATTTGCTCAGCAGATTAGCTCTGAAGAGCAGATAATTCATCAGCTCTTTGTTCACTGTGGTTTAGTGCCCATAAATTCCCTCTCTGGATGTGGCTTGCTGCAGCATTTCTGTCTTTTGAGGTCAATGTGATGAGCTGCGTGGGTGTTTTTAAGCACGAATCACATGCAAAAGGCTTATTTTTTTCTGACATACTAGAGAGCTTTTTTAAAATAATAATAATAAAAAAAACCTCCAACTTCCTTTTCAATTGAAAAACAGTGCAAAGTTTCATATTCGTTGATTTATTCTCTGTGCTCAAGAGCTGTGTAATTTTTCATTACATAGAAAGCGCTGGTGTTGTATGGTTTCAGAAGAGATGTATCCAGTTGTTACAGAAAAGGGAAGCTGCCTGGGTGTTGGGTCACCTCCCACCTGCAAGAAGCTGCATCTTGGTTAAGAAGTGGAGCAGCCTCCCAGAGCCATGGGCCCTTCTCTGTAAGTTGCATCGATATACATTATTCTGTTGGTGCTGTAGTGACTTCATTTTGGGTCTAAGCTAGCAGTTTGGTCATTTTTTCTGTGCTGTTTGTGTTGTCATTATTTAAACTGGGAGTTGTCTGACTGAAGTTTAGGTCTGTTTGCTGAGTACAGTGACCCTGGGGCCACACAAACTAGCCTTGAATGTTACCTGCATCTGTGGGCCAAGGAAAGGTAATGGTTGCTAAAGCAAAGATAGAGCCTCAAAGGCAGAATAGGGATTATGTTCAGCTTGCATGGTCTTCACTTTCTGGTGGACCATGTGCCCAGTGCAGAGAATATAGCCATTGAAGGCAGTTGTCACAGGGAGGTGGAAGAGCCCTAGTTTGCCATGTCTGAGCCGGTGGCACTGGTCCTTCTTGCTTTGATCAGCTGAATTACAACCTGCTTTGTGGTGTTTGTGGGCTTGCTGTGTCTTTCAGGAAGTCAGGAAATAGATTATGTATGTCTTCAATCATAGCTCAATTACTGAGCACTGCTGACTCCACAGGGATGCTGGGGGCCCCTACCTCTGGCTTTTGTGCCTTGGGTACCTGAACTGAAGCATGGATATTCACAGTTTCTCAGTTTAATTCCAGCTAATGTAGGCTTTGGGGTTTTACATTGGTTAAAATGACACTTGTAGGATTGGAAAGCATAAGTGCTTGAAGAAGAGATATCATCAGGTATTAAACTCTCATTTGAAAGTTATAAATCCTTAGGCAAATAATATCTTTTTTATTAAAGGAACACTGGCAAGCATCACCCTGATACTATATTTAGCTTTTAAATTAAGCGTTGTCTGAGATCTTCATTTGCTGAGTGGCCTAAAACCCTTGTCTGCAGCACTGAGGCAATAAGTGCTGTATCTGTGAAGAGCTCTAGGACCTGTGGAGACTGATGTCAGAGCAATGCTGGGAAGAGGCTGTGGAGCTGCAGTGCCCTTGGGGTGAGATGTTTAGCTGCTTTTAAGGTAAGTCATGGTCCACAACCTCTCTTCCATCCTTCACCTTCTGGAGTGGAATAGTTATGAAGAAGCTTTTAGTGTCTGCATGTGTTAATACTTAAATGTTTGGGCATCCACACTTATGTTTCTTTGTGACTTGGAATGCTGAATATCTTCTTCTTTGATTCAGGAAAGAGAGACTGAGGAAAATGGACACATTCAGCCTTCTGAGTAAGAAGTATCCTAGAGGTAAGGTGAAGCAGGTTGGGGGGACATGCAGACGACACACAGGGACATGTGTCACCTTTAGTACCTTGCTGGTGTGGCTGCCAGGCAGAGGAATAAGCTTTTTCAGATGTAGTTCTGTAGTGTTTGGTGTACACCCGGAGCAGGTCTGAATGTATACAGACCGTGCACTGAGCAGTGGCAGAGGGATGGGAATAAGGTAACAGCTTCTTGGCATGAGGGTACCATCAGCTGGCACAGCTTCTGAGCTGTGCTGCTCTGTGCCCTCCACTGAGAGGTCAGCAGTACAGCTTCCTGAGGACAAGAAGGCAATTGTTAAATAGGCACCAGTTTCTGAACTATAGTGGGTAATGTCATAAAATCCCTGGGTATGTCACCTAATGGATCTTGGTATGTCCTAGGCTCACAGCTGCATCCCACTAGCTATGAGAGATACCCAACACACAGAACATGGTGCATCACCAGAGGAATTAAAAGGGGTGCCCAGGATGGGTCAGGTGTTTCAGCTTGAGAAGGGTCACGCTTTCCCTTTTCTGAAAAGGAATGTATCCTTTTCTTACAGGAAAGTATTGGTGTGGAGAAAAGCATGAAGAGGAAACTTTTGGACACCTTGGAACTTACGAAGAATTTCTTAAGCTGCCATCCAGCAGGTAGGTATAAATGCTTCTTAGACATTTGTATTTCTTAGGATACATCTCACAGGCCTCAGTTCTGAGCACAGCAAAGGAAGCAGGAGCCATCCTTGTGTTTTGCCACGAAATCAGATGCTCGTGTCCAGCTCAGTTATTGCAGGCTGTAGCACTGGCTGTGGGCTGACAACTGCCAGAAGGGGACTGCAAAGCTTTCTGTAAGATTGTCCCATACCCTTGGTATAAATATATACATTGCATAGTGCAGAGAAGACCACAACCTGACTCTAAATTACTCTGTCCTTAGGATATCCATGCATATCACCTATTTAAAGACTTAACATGTTACTGAAATGATGCTATCCTGGATGAAACTCAGGCTTGTGTTGTAAGCAGGGAAAAAAAAAAAAAAAGGAATGTGTATGGGCAAGGGAGCTGCCAAGGGGAAATCTCACTGAAGAGTTACTTCCTTCTGGCTGCAGTTTTGCTTTTTGCCTTTTTTTTCCTTCTTCTCACAAGAACCTTTTGTCTACACAGATGATGCTGTGTCAGTGCAGCAGAGATGGAAAGAGCTTGAAGGCTCAGCCAGAAGCAAAACCCCAAGCCAGACAAGGAGTGCTGGAGGATACAGAAGAGCCCCGAGCCGGTGAGTGAACAAATCTAAATCCTAATGCCAGGGACGCACAGCAGAAGCAGGGCATGGCATGGCTGAGGCAGCCTGCTAGAGCAGCGCTCTTACCTTTGGGAGCATCCTTGTTGTTTTGCCTACTTACTTTAAACTGAAGTGCAAGGCCCAGGTGTACCTGTATGGATTGCACAGCCCCATTCCAGCATGAGATACCCTCCTGGTGCTAGGACAGAAGAACTTGGCTTCTTCTGAGGCTATTTCTTCAGTCTCTTGTAACTAGGTGGTGCAACCCCTCTTCACAGAGTGTTAAGCTTTCTCTTTGCTTGACTGGCTGCACTGTGGGTAGAGTGAAAGTGACTGGAGCATCCACACTTCATGTTTTCATATTCTGAAGACCAGGCTCTAGACTTGTCCCTAGTTGCAGTCTCTGCGTTACCCAGGAAAGAGGTATTTTTGGACACACAGGTACTTGTTGCTGTTGAAGAACCCATAACTGATCTCTTGGCAAAGTTTTGACCTGCTGTTTGGGACCATCTGGAGATTTAAAAAAAAAAAAAAAATGAGCTTGTTTTCCAGATAACTCTTCAGAAGAAGCAGTCGCTAGACTTGATGTGCATTCATTACACATCAAGAAAATGCTGCAGAAGTAAAGAAGCAAGCCCTAAAGCATTTACTTCTTGCAGCACATTTTGTGTTACCCTCAGGCTCTGCCTCCAGCAGCCTGCACTCCCCTCACTCTGGAGCTGTTCCCACAGGAAGAGCCAAGAACAAATCCCATGTTAGCAACATACAGCATCATTTGTGCTCTTGGAAATCACATTTGGAGAAAACCACAACTAAGCCAACAGGACACTTGATTTGTTTAATGTACTACTAATATTAATTAGTAAATAAGTAGTGATTGATTGAGGCTTACTTATTTAAATAATTTAATTATTGTTTCCTATTGTAGAAGAATCCCAGCTCTCAGAACAAGAAACGACAGCTCACCTTGCTCCTCAGCTGCTGCTTGCCACCCATGTCTGTGTTGGGAAGATCACTGCTGTGCTGCCAGAGCTGAGAGGTAGCAGCTGCTGGTCACATTTGTCTCCCAGATGCATCACTCCTCTCCTTTCAGCGCATCACAGCTGGAAAAGGAAGTGGCCTCCCACTGTTTCCTTCCCTCCCTCCCTCCATCCCTCCCCTTTTACAAATGATGTTATTGTACCACCTTGACTCTTTCCTTCTTTTTACAGGTAGTCCTGACAGTAATAACTCCAGCTACTTCCATTAACAGGTTCTATCTGGAAACCTATAAATTACTGTCATAAACTGATATCCATGTCACTGTTTTAATATGAATTGGAAAGTACTGGAAAGTGAAAAATCCCTCTGTTTTCTTTTCCTTGTTGGAGTGTTGAGGGAAGCAACTACCACTCAGACATGTAAGTTAATCTCTGGCTTTCCACCTTTCAGAGCTTGGAAAAAGAGTCTTAGCTCCAATTAGGTCTGAGTGCCCTGCCTACACTTCCTTCCCCCCAAAACTGCCACCTTAATCTCTCAGTGTGGCCACAACAATGGCCTTGTGGAGTGAAATGCACTGAGCTGGCTGGGCAGTGGCAGTGCAGGGAAGCACAGCCCTGCTCTCTCAATGTGAATTAGTCCAGCAGAGCCTAAGGACAGACTGGCACGTTTATCCAACAATTCACTTACCTGCAGTCCTCAGCATGCAGGGCATGGCTTAAGCTCTCTCACATCTCCAGGGAGGCTGAAGTACACCTGGTCTCTTCCCCACTAGACCCTCAACAAGACTCTGTACAGTGCGGCTGCTGGAGGCTCATGGTGCCCTGCATCCCAGGCTCTGCTGGGACAAGGATCCCAAACTCCTCTGGGAGCCCTTCCCAGCACAGCTCAGCTCTGGCAGGGACTGGAGAGCTGCCCAAGCATTGAAAATCCCGTTTTTCCTGCTGGAGAATTGAGACAAGGGAGAAAGCTAACAATCAATCCAGATCAGAAGGCTTCCTATTCATTAAGCTGTTACTACTAAGGTAATCAAGTTCTTACTGTGCCCTGCAGCCTTCTGTCAGCCACATGATGGCAGAAGAAACAAAGATCTGCTTTTAAAATAGCTGCTGCAAACAGGGGAGGTACCTGCCTCTGGATGTGCTGCTGAAAATACACTCGTCTCTTACAAGCCCAGAACCCAGCAGGAAACCAGCCTGGTCAAGAAAAGGGGGTGGGAGGGGGCTGTGCTACCTGTCAGTTCATCTATAGCATCTCCACAGAGAGGTCACAGCTGCATTTCTCATGCAGAAGGCCTCACATCATCATAGAATCATAGAATATCCCGAGTTGGAAGGGACCTATAAAGATCATTGAGTCCAACTCCTGGCACCACACAGGTCTACCCAAAAATTCAGACCATATGACTAAGAGCACAGTCCAAACACTTCTTAAACTCCAACAGGCTTGGTGCAGTGACTGCATCCCTGGGGAGCCTGTTCCAGTGCATGACAACCCTCTCAGTGAAAAACCTCTTCCTGATACCCAGTCCAGATGCCACACAGGACCCCTGTGAGTCTCCACATCACCCAGTGACCACAACAGCATAAAAAAAATATAGCTCCAGTATTTCATAACAACAGGCAACTGGAAATTCAACAGCACAAGCCACCTGACAGAACCAGACCTGCTTTGTCCCCCAGGCAGTTGGATGGGTGACCTCCAGAGGTCCCTTCCAACCCGAATTACTCCATGGACCCATCTGTTCCAGGTCAACCCCTGCAGACAGCTCTGCCCCATCCATCTCTGCACACTCTGCCTTTGACAATGAGGTGTCAGACAAGATGGGTTTGAACTGGAGGGGCAGTAGAGGTCACAGGTTATCTCCTTACTACAAAACTATTGCTTTAACAGCCCACAAGCTATGCTCACAGCCTGGAACAACAATGCTTTTCCTTCAATCACCTCACTTCCTACCTCACAGGGAAGAAAATCCAGACACACCAAGCCACGTTCAGGAGATGTCTTTTCACAAGAGACAAGCTCCGCATTAGAGCCCTAGGTGCTCAGAGTAACAACCTCTACTTCAAGCCATCATAGCATGAAAAAAATGTACTGCCCAGCATCACATGAGAGAAATCCAAAGGGCTGTCAATATTTACAATTCCAATGGCTTTCTATGCCACCAAATACCATGAAATCCAAAAAATAGCCTTACCATGTGCTGGTTCAATTGCATGTTGTTCCAAAGACAAGATGCACGTTGGTCAGCCTTTCACCAGCCACACAACTCAGGAGAAACATCAGCATGTGTCTCCAGGGCTGGGGGGTGAAGCCGGTCCTTTCTCTTCTGCCATGTCACATCCATTCCTCCTGAGGTACCGAGCACCATCTGAGTGAGGAACCAATGCTCAAAAGCCTGCACTGCTGCCAGCACTTCAAAAACAGTTGCAGGACACTGCGAATAACAATAGTATTTGAAGAAGGGTCTGATGGACAGTGCTCAGTTCAGAAAAGCTCCTGTCAATAAAGGCAGCCTCTGACTAGCTCTCATTTACTCTCCCACTCATGCCCCTGGAGGTCTAAAGCTAACTGACCACTGCTAACCAGCACCAGTTTCTGGTTTATTCTGCTGCCGTGGGCTTACACCAAAGGCTCAGAGGCTTGTTATCCTCTGAGGGGATTTTGTTTGCCAATGGAATTAAATGTAACTGCTTACCATAATGTGCCAACTGAATTGGTTTCAGCCTAAGTAAAAACAGCAGAGTCTGCCTCTTCATTTCAAAGAAGCAAGTAAAAGCTCTCTGCACAATTTCTAGGTCTCAATAAAAAGACTTTGAGGCAGCTGCTCCCCAGACTGGTTCCCAATGCAATGAGGAAAATATTATTCATTCTTCAGGAGAAAAAAAAAATCGGCTAAAAGGCTATTTATGTATATATAATACATATTACATATATTATATATAATACATATTACATATATTATATATACATATTATATTATACATTAAATATATATTTAAAATAATATACAATATATAATATATATAATATTGTATTGTATTATATTATTATATATTACATATTATATTATTATATATCATCATATTATATATTACTTTATATATTATATTGTACATTATGCATATTTATGTATATATACAAATACTTTTATATATATACATATATATATTTATATATAATGTAAATATAAAATATAATGTATAAAATTATATAAAAATATATAAAAATTAATATAATGCAATATATAATGCATATATAATATGTTATATTTACAGTATATTGCATATAGTATAAATATAAATATAAATAATATATAAAAAGTAACAAATATAAAATATAAATATATATTATATTATATAATTTTATGTAATATATAATGTCCATAATATTATGAGATATGATATATATAAGTATATACTATATTATATACATAATATAATATAAAAATATATACATTACACATATTTAATGTATTATATATATTATATTTATATTATATATTGTCTATTACATTATTATATATTATTTTATTATCATATATTATATATTATATATTATATATTATATATTATATATATTTATTATTTATTATATATATATTATTTTTTTATTGTCATATATTATATATATTTATATGTATTTAGTATATATATAATATATAGTACATTATTTATATTATATAATATTATATATATATAATGTTATTATATATATTATACAATATATATGATTATATATTATTTAATATTATATATTATATTATAATATATATTATACATTATATATTATTATATATAATAAATTATATATTTTTGTTATATTATATTTTTTATGTTATATTATATATTTATATTATATATATTATATATATATCAAAATATTTATGTATTATATATAAATCCTCCTTTTTAATAATATACATATATATTATATTTGTTTTCTCTACTGTCCTCCCCCTCTCCTCTCTGTCCCCTTCTATGCCCATTCTCTCAACTCTACTCTATCCTGTCCCATCTCTCTTCTCTCCTATATCCCTAATATATTGTGTTCATATTATATATGTTATATATATTATATATTTTATATATTTCTATATAATGTGATGTAATATATATATTATATTTATATTCTGTATAATATATTATGTATATTTAATATTATATATTATATATATATACAAATCCTCCTTTTCAATATATATACATAAATATATTTATATTTATTTATATAAAGTGCCTATCGCTGTATTGATAAACACTCTTTGGATATACTCTGACAGCTGGGTTAGAACAGGAGTTGTCCTGTTAGTACCTCAGCACTTCTGTTTCCAACTGATTTAGAAAAAAAGAAAATCAACAAGACTTTGCTCCTTTAAAACAGTCCCCAGATGAAGTCCCCTCTGCAAACTCTGATAAGCACAGATCTTACTCACCTGCACATCCAGGACTCCAAGGGCCAACACATGTAGGAGCCTTCTGGCACTGCCCAGCCCCAATATCTCCGCCAGCAAGCTGCTGTAGCAAAGCAGGGCATCAGGACATCATCCCTCCTGGCCATACCAGACACCAGATCTCTCTCATCTGGCAGATGATCTCACATAGGGACATACGTTACAGGGGAAGAGGTAAAATTGAGGCAATAAAAGTTGAGAGAGGATCTCACACAAGGGGAAGGTGCTGTTTAGCTGCAGTCTCTCTAACCAAGGTAGTTCAACTCTCACACTTGTAAACTTCCACAGATTTCATCTGTGCAGACACAGCTGGGCAGTGTGTGCAGAGGTGTGCTGGGGACAACTATCAGCTTGTGTGCACAAGCACTGGGCAGGGGAGGAGATCAAGATGTGCAGGACAAAGCCGCTTAGACTTCACATCCCAGCAGGCCCATAGCAACTCAGTGGCTACCAGGATTTGGAGCAAAAACTGCCGTCAAATTCCCGAGACAGTTTTACTGGGCCTTTGACCTGGGCCCTGGGATGTATCTAGCAGCATGCACACCATCACGCATCTGTCTCACTGGGGGCTGGCTCTGATGATGCTGATGCTTTAGGGTACACTATGGCCCACAACAGTCATACTGAAATGCTGACTTTTCAGACACTTGCAAACAGAGCCCCTAGCATGCACTTTGACAGACAAAGCAGGGCTGCTGTTTTCATGAGCCACAGGAACAGAGTGTTGTCCTCCTAAACTAGACTAGCAGCTCACAGCTGAGGCAAGGTAGCCCATTCAACAGCCAAGATTTTTGTAGTCACTGTGTGGAACAGATGATTCACTATAACTTCCTTACTCAAACAAAAAAATGCTATTTTTCCAGAGATATGCAAAGCTTCTGGCTTGCACATAACATACACTGCTGGGACAGTCTAACAAGCTTTGTTTTTCACAGCTGTGACTTCTCATCACAACAGTGGTTAAATTGCACCTCAAACACTCAATTTCTTCTTCACGATTGTCTAAGCTGACTTCTATAAAAGAATGAAGAGGTATCAGTGTTCATATTGAAACTACATCACATCAACCTGGTCTCTACTGAGATTCGGCAGCAGCTAACAGCCACAAACAAGCATCTTTTAGCTCAGCTGTTAGACCATTCCCTGCCTGCAGTGAGGGCCAGCTGCTCTCTTGGACGGGGAGCCAGGATCTAAGGGAATAACACATGTGGCAGGACAGGACCTCACCAGCCAGGACTCATCCCACCATCCCAGGGCAGGAGCCAGGCAGGCCAGAGGGGCAGTGAGAATCAAGCAATAGCCCAAATCACCAAACACGTCCATGGGAACAAGGCAGATCCAAGGTTAAATTGGGAAGCCAAGCCTTAGGTTAGGGTCAGGTCCAGCAACAATACGTAGGGCCTGACAAAACCCTAGGGTGGCCAAGCAGGGCCATGGTGATGAGGCAGATCCAGTGCCACTCCTGGACATCAGCCTGGACCACCAGCTCACTGAGCAACAGGACTGAAGCACATGCAGCAACATAGCTGCAGCTAAAACAAAACCCATCTTCCCTCCCCAGCAGCTCAAGCAGGTACTGAAGGTCTGGGGTTGGGCTGAAATAGGGTTCCCAATCCCTGGGGCAGGGTGTGGACAGGAGGCCACAGGTGAGGCTGCTCAGGACCATTAAGGCCCATTGGTGCCATCTGGGCTCTGACACTCATTGATCAAATTGGTCTGCAAGATCATATCCTGCTGAGAGAGTCCTGGCTGCCAGACAGATTATTTTTAACACATCTTTTTTTTTTTTTTTTTTTTTTTTTTTTGCCATTCATCTTTTAAAACAGGAAATTAATATCCTCAATTGATGTAAATTAAGATTTTCTTCAGATTAATAGTGGCGATTAGCTGCTCTCTACCTGCTGAAATGATTGTCTAAAGGCTTAGGTTACAAAATTTCACAAAATTTTGGTACTCGTTTTAGATCAAGCACTTATGAGCAATGTCAGTATAATAGACATCTACGTAGTTTCTTACATGGAAAAAAAAAAAAAAAAAGTGAAAATAACTTTTTAAAGCTTCTTTGAGCTTGCATGGTAGAGCCTGCTCTGCCAGTTCTGCTCTGGGGCTATCTGTTGCACATGGCATGACTAGAATTCTGCTTCTGGAAATGAAATGAAATGAAATAAAATGAAATAAAATGAAATAAAATAAAATAAAATAAAATAAAATAAAATAAAATAAAATAAAATACCTTTTGTTCTTGTTTGAAAAACCCAAACAGAAAAGGATTCAGCCAGTGCCTCCTTTTCCCTAGACAGACTGTGTTAATCCCACCAGCGCTCCTCCCTCTGTGGCAATGTGGACATCAGTGACAGCTACAGAGAGCATTAACTGAGCTCTAGGTTTTAGCTGAGCAGTTAAAAATAAGTTTGGAGGTGAAGTTAATTGAAAATATCACTGCCTGCCCCAAAAGCGCCTCGCTCAGTGCGATATCTGCGGCAGGTGGCGCTCCCCATCCACAAATACAACAAATACAACCGGCTGCATGCTGAAAAACAGAGGCTGGGTGAAAAAAAGTGTGTTTCCTTCCCTTCCCAGCTGCAGTGAGGAGCCCCTCGCTCTTATCCCTACGGAAGCCACAAACTGGATCCAACCCTCAGCTGTGAGAAATAAAGGCAGGATTAGTGGTGGCATTGGACACCTAGAGCCTTTTGGACAGCAAAATGAGAAGGGTAAACTTCAGGCATTTTGTGTTCTGAGAAGTCTGGGGTTTTTGGCAAATACAGCCACACAGATCAGCAATGCTGCCTCCTGTAAACTGAAATGCCCTCTTAATTCCTCTGAAAAGAGAAAGACATGAATGCAGTAGAGAATAAATAAGAAATGGTGCTAAACATGGGAACATTGTGCTGTCATTAGCAATTATCACCCTAAACATCACTGCTGGCATTCAGCATCAGGAATTGGTGACCTATGATAATGAAAACCCTTATGCTGACTTCCTCAGGTGGAGGCTTGCCTGATTTCTTTAGATGAATAAAAATAAAAATGTAGTAGAAATTTGGTGACAGACATGGAATACACGTGTGAAACATATCAAGAAAAATCACATGCAATATTGTACAAATATATCCAGCTGAATTCCCTGTGCTTTTCCAACTTTCACAGAAGTTTGGATTCTGAGGGCTATGATGGGTAACATTAGGTTGATCTAGTCTTATCTCCTACATATACAGATTACACAGTTTTTGACAGAAACTGAATTAAATGTATCTTGAAGATGGATTCCAAACAATGACAATCTTTCTCATCCAAGCAAGATAGTTCAATGCACCAATTCAATCTTGCTGGTAGGAAATGGCACCTTCACTGAACGTAGCAAGTTTCTGCTTCCAGCTGTTAAACCAGACTAGGCCTTTTGTCAACATAAACAGCAAGGTCTCCTTTCCAACTCTTGTTTTATAAATAATTCAATGGACAATTTACCTCTTTACTGTGGTTTAATAAACTGAAAAGAGACAGTTTCTCAATTTAACTTTAAAGACTCAGGTTTTTTTGTTTGTTTTTGTTGGATTATTATTATTATTATTATTATTATTATTATTATTATTATTATTATTATATTTTTTATTTTTTTTTACATTCCCCTTTCAAGTTCCTTTGAAATCTCTCAAGGTATTCCAGATCCTCCTACAAATTTCTATGCCAGAACTGGGCTCCCTTTCAAATACACAAGATGCCAGTCCCTTTGTTTGATTTTTTTTTCTTTTAACTAAAATACAAATACTGCAGCTTTGACATAGTCCTCCACTGACAAGCACGTGCAGGCCTCTGTACAAGACAAACCCAGTCACTGCAGTTCCACCTTTGGGAAATGCTGCCACTGAGCTGCCATCTGCAGTGGTGCGTAGCAGACCACACCGACAATCCCTGAACAGCACCTCTGCTCAAGAGGAGCACAGCAGATGAGAAGCAAAACCAAAACAAAAAGTGGCAACCAAAACATCTTTAAGTCGCATCATCAATTGGATGTGTTTCATTGATTACAAACTTACAACATTAAACAAGTAGCAGCACTTGTGACCTCTTTTTTTTCACATTATTTTGCCTACCATCTGCAGTGAGCTGACGTTTGTAGGTCAACATAGTTAAGAAGGACAACAAAACCAAACCAGGTGCAAATTTGTATGCCTTCACTTACTGAAGTGACTGACTAGAAGCAGTAACATACTTTGAGAAACTATCAAACTTACTCAGTGTTATTTATTTTTCCCTTTCCTTGGGATTGGCATTTTGGGAAACAAAATTCCTCCTTGGTGTTGGTAGCTATTAAGCTTTGTTCAGCCCCATGTGTCAGGCAAGCAAGCACAACCATCTGGAGAATCTCTTTGCTTTGAAACCTCTTCCTTGCCTGGACTGAGTCCGTCCTTCCTCTGTGGTGCTGCTCTTTGTGCACTGCACAGCTGCCTCTATTGACTCCTGTGACTTCCTTGGGTACTGCGGGAGATGGAGACAATTTCTACTTGGGTTAATTAGAAGAAAGAATTTTTAGCAGGGAGAACAAACAGCAGATGGATGAATGTGACTTACGTCTCCAGACCTAGGAACAGGAGCCATGCTGTAGGACTGTTTCTTACGTCTTTGTGTCACCCCACACCATGTTTGTTCCTCAGACCACACAGGCCACCAGCAATGCAGGTCTTCTACATCCTAAAGCAAAACACATTCAAAGCAATGTTATAAAGAGAAATGGAAGTTTTTTGGCACTCAAGAAGACAGAGGAAAAGAAGTGGTGTGGGGAGGGAGCAGGTGAATTTACTCTACAGCTGCTTCAGAGCATGAATAAGACTATTTGTGCTACTGGCACATTTTATATTCATGCATCTGATACTGAGCCATTTGTGCAGTGTCACTACTAGGAATTAAGAACTAGGAATAATAACAAATTGCGCTGTCAGTCAGACACGTCTGGAGAAATCCCAACATATATTTGTGTGCTTAAAGCAAGTGACCTGACCAGAGCCAGAAAGTTAAACTGAAGCTGAGAAGTCTCCACATTGTAAAACATTTAAGTTGGCAATACTGGGCCAAATTTACTCTTGTGACAAGCAGCACAATTGTCCTTCAGTAGACATACTTCTATCAAACCCCAAAATCGTCTCTATCACTGTTTATAATTTAGTTTGTTTAGTACAGCTATAGGGCAGAGCTTACCATGTCCTTTCCAAAAGCACATTTTCCATTAAGTAACTTTTTTTCAAACAAATAACTTTTCATGAGAAGATGAGGGAATCTGCCTAATGAAATATTGACTCCCCCGATACATATTAAATTTTCAAGCATCATTCAACAACTCTGAATTGACTAATGGCCATCACAGCAAATGGATTTCCACCTTAATCTTTAGTTCTTGTCTGAATGATATTAATACACACTGTTTATCACTAATGAGCTCTAGAATATGATGTTAACAGGAGCAATTAAGGGCCCACCATAACTGTCTGCAACACTGTGCTCGAGCTGAATATACAGCTAATGAATCACTTCCACAGTTATGTTCCAGTTTCCTTACTGGAAATTATACTTCACATGAGTTATGCTCATCTTAGCATCCAGGCTGTTAGTTTTATCTTTAAATGCAAGTATTTCTATTAAATCACTTGTGTGTGTTTGGAAGATTGCTTACATAAGAAAGAATCATATAGGTCCTTTGAAGAGCTGTCCTATTTGTTTGTTTGTTGATTTATTGTTCAGTGATAGCAGCTACCATCAGTGAGAGGTGCCACAGTTAGAGTAGCTTTTCCTGTGCATGGCACAGATTTAAAGTTCTCCTAAGGTGCTTCGGTTCAGGAGAACAAAGCTCGATTCAGAGGACTGTTTAGCCAGGACTGCCAGAGCCTGACTTCCTGTGCAGATGACCACAGCACAGAGGTCAGGCACATCAGGTTTTTTCAGGTCACCTGGTTGAACCCCTGCTCAAGGCAAAAGGGCACTTCTCTAAAAGCTTTGGTGAAGTGCTGGCTTCAGGGAAATATCTGCCTATACAATCCTTCCATGCCACTTGTGGTCACAATATTTAAAAGCTAGGATTTAAGTCAAGGAGGAAAGCAAAGCACAGTGCTGCCCACTCTATTTTGTTTTGCACTCTTCCCCTGTCAAAGGTGGGGCATCCCTGTCTTTAATGAACTATTTTAAACGCTGAATCTTCAAGGTAATCTGGAATTGTCTCAGCCCTAAGAAGGAAACAAAAGCAGCTACTCAACAGCAACATTCCCAGAAGAGATCAGAATTGCTGAAAGCCTCTAATTTAATGACTTGATCCTACACTTGAAGTTAGACAATTTTTAATGTTGACATCTGTGGGAATATGTTGTGAAGAAAGCTTATCTTGAAACAGATGAGCTTTCCTATGTTCTGCTATCCTGAGTAATCCACTCACACTATCTAGTCTTGAAGGTGAGTGAAGAAAAACAGAAGTATCATACGACACAGTCATTTGATCACATTCTGTGAGAAATTGCTGAGACAAGCCAATGCCAGTTTGAATTCGCTGTTCTCATATATTTTGGTTGGAGGCTCAAATTCGGCCCGAAGGTGCTCTGTCAGTTGAACTAAGAGAAAGCTACCAGCAATTAAACTCTTTCTGTTCATACACTCAGCTTTGTGCTTCACTGCAACAGAGCTGGCATTCTACAGCTGTGATTTTGCCTTAAATAAGTTCAAAAGAAACAGTTTTGCCAGTCTGCTCACCTGTCTGGGCCAGGCTGAGCTGCAGTGCTGTTTCTCTCAGCCTCAGCTCTAGCTGGTGTTTTTAAAACATCCATCTGAAATGCAAGTTGAAATGTAGCTCTTCAACTAGCAAAGTGGAACATGCAATTTCTACCTGTCTTCACCTACAGATGTTATCACCACATCTACAAGCACGCTCTGCGCTTTGACATTTTTGATCTCTGACTGATGCTTAGTACCAAATTAGTAAGCAGCTCCTTTTATATTTTTTAAGGAGTTATCTATCTAAGGACCAAGATCAAAGCACCAAGAGCATCATTTCATTGTGCTGACTTGAATTGTAGTGTCACTTTAATTTGCAGCCACTGAAGCAAAACCTTACGAAAAGCAAAGGAAATACTCCAGCAATTAGCCTGCACTCAGCTCAGTGCTGCGCTGCTGCAGCGTTCAGGCTCCTGAGCCCTGGGCTGCCTCCACTGCCCAGCAAAGCCTGCAGGTTAGGGCACAGCTCTGGAATAATGGAGCTGTGTCACTTGGGAATGGGAGACTTGCTGGGATGTTTTAGAACAAAAAAGTTCTGTAAAGGAACTTAAAGAAGTCAAGCTTGTATTGGTTTGTTTGCTTGTTTTTGATATGGTGTATAAAGGGGGGTTGAAAGAAGCTTATTTCATGCAAATTTTAATTCGGTAAAAGCAAAGTTATTGAGTGACTTCTGAGCATACAAGGCTTGTTGGTTTACCCAGCAGCAAACTACGCAATTCTACTGAAAGAGAGCAGAACAGAAACTCCATGTTCTAAGCGCTGGAAAAAATGAACGTTAATAGCCAGTTACACGCCACTTCTAATGGCAGGTGGATAGATGAGCTCCCTCTTCCCCACATCCTGTTGGTGCACTTTTGGGACACTGTAAGTTCTATAGCTGCCTTCTGGATTTCACAAACCCAGCTCAGTACTGCTGGATCCAACGGGGGAAAAAGTCACTCACAATTCAGACGTGGAAAACAGCACAAGGTGAAAGGGTGCCACTTTTATCACTGCAGGATGTGGCACAGCATGCAAGCCTTCTTCATTACCTGCATTACCATTACCACTAATTCATTTTATGGCAGAAATGTTGCCCTATGCTGGGCATTGTAAAATCTCACAAACACAACACCATCTCCCCAAACGTACAGTTCCTACAATTGAGAAGAGGCATGGATACAGAAGAAAAACCTTCATTATATTTTACATAGAGGCAACCGAGACATCAAGTGACAAAGCAGTTTACTCAAGATCTGCAGAAAACCAAGGATACTACTGCAGTCCAGCTCCCCACCAGCCAAGGCCTAGAAGCAAATGGGCAGACACTGCCCCCTGGGGCCAGCGGCAGCACAGCCCCCCAGTGCCCCATGCCCCTGTGCTCAACAGACAGAGGCAATATGGTCTTGGTGGCCCATTAAGGCAATGGGAAGAGAGTTGAGGGCCTTACAACGCCCTGCACCACCTCCTCCCTATCTCCTGACACCATAGGAACCCCATCCATCCGTCAGTGCTGCCACCTATTTGCAGCACATCAAGCCACCAGGAGCTCAGCACCCAACACCTCACACCAGCCCCAACCACTGGCAGGCGACGAGGCTTGCCAAGGAGGGTCTGAAGCAGAATCCCCCCCCTCTAGAAAAAAACTAAAGACCACAAGCAACTGCGCCTCGCACCCTCGCACCGCTGCGGCCTGGTGCCTTTGTGCAGGGCCGGTTCTCAGGGGGGGCCGGGGGGGCCATGGGTGCTATGTGAGGCACCTGCGGCTCGCACAATGGGCTGTGGGTGCTCGGGGGAGAGACAGATTGATGTATTGTGTGCGGGGGAGGAGGGCTGTCACTTGAATCCATGTGAACCCAGGCTTTCGGGGCAAGGAAGATTGACAGCTTTTGTAGGTTGCAGCTCTCTTTCAAAGCTCTGCTTTACAGACAGTAGGTTAGGGGGCCCGGGCTTTCACTCTCATAATTCGAACAGGGCAATCATGAGCATTGAGAATTTCTTCTCTCTCCCTCTCTCTCTCTCCCTTTTTTTTTTTTTTTTCCTTACCCCCCTTGTTATGCATTAAATGATTTCAGTGGAGGAATGTGCAGCATTAATTAGAATTGGTTAGCAGATACCAAGGGGAAAAGTTTCTTCACAACAACTATAGGAGGTGTCACTGCCACAAAGCCGGTTTTGTTTTCGCTCTCCCCCGCATTATCAGTGCAATATGTAAGGTAGCGATTCTTTTCATTTAAATTAAGTGGAAAGCTACTAAATCTTGTTTTATTCTCAAAAAAAAAGAAGAAAAAAAAAAGAAAAAAAAAAGGAAAAAAAAAGGGTCCTTAACACTTATCTTTTAACTTCTTTTATTTTGTAAGGTTAGTGTTTACTTTTGCTTTCAGTCCTCCCCATTAATCGGCCTGCAAAGATGTGTATCCAGTTTTGTGTATCATTTAGCTCTTACAATTATAGGCAAGTACAACTAATATATAAGGATTGTCTCCTGATTAAAGCAGCAACGTTACCATTTAAAATCAAAGGCGCTCGTCTAGAATGACGCATTGAAATTCAGAAGTGTGGCTGGCTGTTCTCTGCGGGGATTTCCTAGTTTCTTTCAACTTTCTAAATAGAAGTTAAGCTAAAAGATGGGCTTGGGCATATAAAGTAAGAGCTTAACAGAAACACACATTAATATATTTATGTATATTGTTTTTCTTCTTAAAAACTTTTCCCATCCACAATGCACAAACAAATTTTAGCCCTGATAGTTTTCAAATATTTTCTCCCCAAATAATTAGAAAAAATATTTACTTTTTTTAAAATCTAAAATGTGTTTAAATATTTGACAATAGGCACAACCCCATATCCTACACCATGGGGTAATCTTCCATTCTCTTTTTTATTTTTATTTTTATTTTTATTTTTATTTTTATTTTTATTTTTATTTCTTATGTTATGGGTACTAGGGAAAGAGTAATTCTTGCTCACCTCCTGAGGGAGAGCTGGAAAACACAGGCACAGGCAGAGCTGCCCAGCAGGACGGTGCAGGTATCCTGAGAGGCTGTGGTTCACCCGTGGGGCCGGTACCAGTGCCGAACTTTTTGACTTACCTATAAGCAGACAGTCTGGCCTCTGTATTGCACAGTCAAAACCAAAGCTTAAAATGGAGCTTTGTTATTATCTATCTTATAATATCATCTCATATTTTCATGCCACAGCTAAATCAGGAGTTACTAGTGGGAGACAATGTTAGGGCATTATTTAATGCAGCTCAGCACCAGCCCAACGACTTCAAGTGCTGAGTAAAGATAAAATAGAGCCTGTAAAGGAAATGAGGAGCAGTTTCTACCATACATGGGATGCCCCACTGAGTTTTCTAAACTCAATAAATTTAACTCAATAAAAAGCCAACTAGAATATTTCACCTTCTGGCTGGACACTGTTCCCCATCATGAATAGGAGCAACAACACTGTTACATCTTTCAGTCCTACAAGAAAAAGAAATAATAATAATAAGAAACATTATTTTTCCCAGTGCAGGGAAAAAGAGAGGCAGGGTACCAGCTTCACTGGTTGGGATTTAAGCCCCAGAGGCTGCCCCTTCTCTGGGGATCTGAGGGCAAAGCAAAGTCTGTCTTGGAAGGAGGCGATAGCCCTGGAGGCTCGAAGCAGCATTTAACATCCCCGCAGAGCACCCCAGAGATGCGATAATACTGCTAGGCTGGGCGCTCTTGCCCAGTTTTCCCTCGTCTCTTGCACCCTGGCCCAAGGGCTGTCTCTCTCTCTCTTTTTTTTTTTTTCTCCCTTTTGGACCACAGCACCTCTCTCAGAATTATGCATCCCTCATGCATGTAAATGAGAGGGGTCCAATTACACGCGAGGGAGAAAGGGTTTAATGAATCGTGAAAAAGCAAGGGTTGCATAGAAAAAGCTCAATCCCAGTGCCCCCTCATCCTCCCACTTGGAAACATGCATTTCTCATTTTTGAGAGTGACAAGAGAATGCAGAGGAGTGAACGGGAGAGAACCACCGCTGAATGAATACGACGTTTGTTTGCATGTATTACAGCCTGCACTTGAAATCCGTGATATGCACTTTTAAAGAAAAATAGTTAAGCACAGAAGTTATGTTCCTCTAGGCAGCACAAACAAATACAATACAGGATTGCCATCAGTTCTCTCAATGTTCAAGTTCTCCATCTGAAGTTCATTCCTTTTTTTTCTCTCCCTTCCTCTGTGTGTATACATAAGGACTTATATGAATCTAAAGGGCAAAGAACATGCAGAAACTGGTTGTTATTAATGAGGGCCTGTAAAATAAAGCCACAGGTTACACAGTCTGAGTCGCATAACAGATTTCCAAACCTGATATTAATTGTTTATCACTGGCAACACCAAGTGAATGGGAACATGGGATATGATGAGCATTGTAGGGCACACTATTAAAACAATATTATTAATGTCAGGTCTACTTTCACGGGATTACATTTAAACAGACATTATAACAAAATGATTTGTAAATATTCTGGGACTCTTCCCTGGTCTTTTCTTTCTGCTTTTTTTTTTGTTTGTTTTTCCCTCTTTATCGTGGATTAATGATTAGTCACTCACTGTTGCTAAAATGACATTAATGTCTCAAAATATGGCATATCGAAAGTACCCAGTGCCCTCAATGGAAATTAAACAGCTTTGTGGTCCCAAGCTGTGAAAAGAAACATAAATAAATACTTGAACATGAAGAAGGTTTACTCCATACCAATGAGGGACTCACAAGGATTGAGTGATTACATCTCCAACCAAAATGTAACAGTAATTTTTTGTTCGATATCTTTAAAAATTAGCCTCAAAGTTTCCCGCTGCATTGGGGTATGGAAATACCTAGGAAATTACACATGGCGGTGATCTCTAATTAAGGCAGGGCGCAGCTATAAAGAGCAGATCCTACCACAGAATAACAGCAACAGGATAACTCCACGTTTACACAGGAATAGGAGTAACTTGTGGAGATACCCCAAGTGTGCTCCAATCTGTTACTAACTTCATCTAGAGCTCTGCAGGGAATATGACAAAATGCTCAGGAAGGCCATATATAGGTTTTAGCAGTTATAGATGAGTATTTCCCATTAGGAGCTTGTGGAATAAAAGTTAAAAAAAAATAAAAAGCACATATGGTGTAGACCGAATTTTCATATAAACCACTGGTCCTTTGACTTTGATCCACAGAATGACTCAGCCAAATAAATACAACCTGGCTCACAAACATTTATAGAAACACAGAAGGAAGAAATTCCATCTAAGCCACAACTTTCAGAGATACCTGAGGGCCTGTACAAATCCTCTGCAAGCTTGGGCTGCTGTGTCCTTTGGCCACCTTTGCTGTGAGCTCAGTGGCACAACATTAGTGTACCAGGAGTGTCACAAACAGTGTGCCATTTTACCAGGGGCCTGGTGAAAATGCAAAGTTTAGGTTGGGATTTCAGAACTCACTTTAATGAACAATTCTCACACACCCATCAGACTCTTTTCCCTTTGAACTCATACCATCTGTATCCATCATTAAAAAACAACATTATATACAAGTAGTACTGAAAAGAGGCTCTCTGGAGCTCATAATTTGAATACATTCCATTGGGGAATGTGGGTAAAACAATACATTCAGTTACTGATTTCACTAACAGGTAGCTAAAAGGACCAGCCACCATTTGGTATTGAAGGATATTCCTGTGTTTTCCAATTGAAATTTTGTTTTAAGCTACTTAAGGTCAATGCATTCTTAACATATTTGGGGGATATCTTTTTTTTTTTTTTTTTTTTTTTTAATAAAGCACTAGAGAAGAACACAGTACACCAGTAAAAAAGAAATATTAGTACAAAATACCAACACATTCATGAGGTGTCTTTGTCTTATCTTAACCTTCCAAACAAATAAAATCAAAAAGCATAAATCCACATAAATGCTCCATTCCTCTATCAATTGACCACACCAACTCCACAAGTACCATTTTCTACATCAAGTCATACACCTACAACCATCCTACCCCATCGATTTTCTCCATACGATTGTTCCCTTGTGCTTTTACCATGTTAGTATTTCTCCCCTGGCCATGCATGGCAGATGCATGTGGGGTCATGGTCAGTTGGGTTAGAAAAGCTTTCATAGGCCTTCAATTTGACCTCCACCTCCTGGAAAGGTGGTGGCACCTTTCTACAGTCTCTCCTCAGTGGGGTTAGAGGAGATCCAAGGGGCTAAGTTCTTTCCACTGAGGTGTGCACCTTTCGCACGCTCCCAGGCTCTCTAACACAGCCCACTTCATTCCTGTTATTGGCTAACTTGGTGGTAAAAACACCTTGTTCTTCAAACCCCCTGTCTGTTCCTGTGCATGACTGTCACCAAGAAGAGCAGAGGCAGTGATCCAGGGGGGAATGGCACAATTTACAGACATCAACAATGGAAACAGCAAAGATCTCTCTCAGTTTTGGTCCACCAGCTTTGGCAAATCTGCCTGTAAGATTAAACTGCATGTGAGTTACATTTCCCTAATCGATTTTGATTTTTACAACCCAGGCTTTGACTATCTGCTTGAAAGCATGTGCTTTTCTTTCAGTGGAAAACATATTAAGGCACACTTAAAAGTTGTTGCAGATTTTTTTTTTTTAATGGGGAAACATTAGGTAATTAAGGAAATCATGCACCATGCCATGTGGAGGCCTCCTGACAAATACAACTTTGGTGGCCATGACCCTGGCCAGAGGAAGAAGGCTGTGATGTCACCTCATCCCCAAGTCCCAGTTTCACGGATAGTATCTCTGAAAGGAATTGTCTAAAGGAGATTGTTCCTTATGAAAAGTTCACATGATGGAGTCTGAAGGGCTTGTTTCACTTGAAGCCCAGCAGGACAGAGCTGTTTGGAAAGAAGCATTCAGTGTGTTCTGTTTTGCTGAAAGCTGTCACAGTGAACAAGTACTTAGCAAACAGCATGAACAAGGATTTGAACTAGAAAACTAGCAGGGCCCTGACAACATTGTAATAGTGGGCTTGTCTGTTCAGAGCCTGTACAATGATGCATGGGGGCATGAGAAGGAAAACAGGGTAACTAGATTTTCATATTTTTAATTATTTTTTTTAATGTAACAGTTTATCACTGCTCTGCTCTCGTTCGCATTATTGTGGCTGCCTTCAGCATCAGTGGAAAGGGAAAGCATCCTGGTGAGAAGGGGCACGGGGCAGAGGCACCATGCACAGCCCAAAGGGTGAACTGATTGATTCACCAAAAAGCAGTCAGCTCTTTTTTTATTACCCTGTTTTGTAACATTTTTACTTCTGTTATGATGCTCTGTTTAAGCTGTCTCTCTTTACATCTGTAATCCATATTTAGCAGTGAACAAAAGCTGCCTGAATCCCAGACTCAAAGAGAACCTGCCATTCCACATCTTTCCAAACAAGCCCTGTTCATCCTGGCACCTAGCTGCTGGCACCAGGAACCTAGCATCCACTAAAGGCTCTGTTCCCTCCCTCTACCCTGTCATATAAGAGACCACTGAATGCAGCAGAAGATTCAGCAATATAAAACAAGTAGAAATTTAGATCAGATAAACAAAAACTCTCAGTTTTACAAGCTGCAACCCCCTTATTTCTAGAGCAAACCTCCACAACACTAACCTCACCTTTTCTCTGTGGTTATAACCACAGTTGTCTAGTTTAAGACAAGAAGAATTTCAAAAGCTGTGATAAATAACTTCTTATTTATCACTTCTAACATGCTGTGCATTTTCCTAGATGTGGAAAGTCCCTAACTGATGTCCTTCTTTGTTATCCCCTTTTCAGGTTGTCTTCTACTGAATCATTTATGCAAAAACCCTGTTTTCCTTCTTTCCTTTACCAGGACAGAAACTTGCACATGATTTAAGAGCAAAGCCCAGCACAGCACCCACCTTTTTCCTTATAGACGTCAATAAACTCAGGATTAAAAGCACTTTTCTGACTCATAGGGAAACTTCTGGCCTTTTATCAGGTCCTGGGATATGTTCCCGGACCTGCCATTCATTCTCTTTGTGCTCTATGCCATGGCTGAAAACTCCTGCTAAGAGCTTGTGTAAGGAATGCAGGTGGAGGAAAACAGAATGAAGAACCACATGTTCCTATCTAAGCTTAATCCTTGGAAAAGAGGCACTGCTCAGCTAGCTTATTGCTGGAAGGCTTGATCATAGGAACTCAATCACTAATGACATGGATCAGAGCAACTGCATCGATCCTGACTCTATTTCCTCCTTTCATGCTCAGTAATAGTATTAGTGTTTCTGTCTATAAATTGGGATCTCAATTTATAGGACCAATATACTCCACTTCAAAGTAATTATAAAGAATATTTTGTCTGGCCTCAATATGGCCCATATGACATATGTAGTAGAACTTGGCATCTAAAGAATATCTACTTTTAATCTGAGGCCTTAGCATTAAGGACTTTTCTAGAACTGCCAAGACAGGAATACTTTTAGTAATCCATATTGTTCCTGGGTTGTTTCCCACAACCCTCCACAACCCTCACTTCGCAGCACTGCTATATGCCTCAGTTTAGGGAGAGCTGTGTTCCAGGAAATCCAGAATTAAGACCACCAAAGTGACAAGTCTGTGCTGGTATTATCCAAATCTCAGGAACACATTCTATCACTATTATGATACTATACATGTATTAGTCCTCTACTAGAAATGTAAACTGGGTATTAAATGTTTCTTCAGGTTCCAAAATATCTTGTGGGGTTGAAATTATTGCTGTGATATCCAAAGTAGGCTCCTCCCCCTGACACCCCCATCCCTCAGACCCTGTAACTGTATTACAAGTTTCTTATCACCATTAGTGTAACGGAGTTTTTTCAGCAAATCAAGTATCTTTTGCAAGGAGACCAATTGTGATAAGACTGTTCTTCCACTGATTTTTTTTTTCTGCTACTTCCTGAGCCAGATAGCATGTTTTCACCCTGAAGAAAGAAGTCACTTTCCCTGGTTTTTTCTTCACTTTTCCAACCCGAATCTCCTCTCGTTTCAGATATAATACAGCACAGAAGTTTGAAAGGGAAAAGACTGGGCTTTTTTAAAAATGCCAACACGATGTAAGGACTTATAAGCTTTAGAGCCCAAATGGCAGCTCAGAATCACGCTGCACCGAAGCAGAACAGCCCCCGTTCACCCAGCTGTGCCGTACTCACCAGCTCTCACCCGCAGCATTCCTACCACAGACGCATCAGTCTGTGTCAGCTCACTGTCCTTTGAACTCAACTTCTCCATTCAAGGGCCACGCTGATTTGTCTAGAAAGGTGAAATCCTTGTCATTAATAACATCCTCTGGAAACCTTACCCGTACTTAAATTGCATTGAAGCAGCTACCACCCCCTGTCCTTTTTGTAGGAGACACGGGCAGATGTCTGCTCTGCAGGCAGCTGTTGCCACAGTCCAGAAGTGACCACTTTCCAGCTGCTCGCTACCATTGTCTGCTGGAGGTTTCCAGCCTCATTTACTTGATTTGTGGGATGATTTCTCTGAGTTCTCTCAAACCGCTCCAGGCAAAACTTGGATGGATTAATGTAAACATTTTTAACAGGATAGCTTGGGTTAGGCCAGCAAATTTTGTCTGAGAGAACGCCCACATTATGCCTTCACCACAGGCCTGAGAGTGAACTCCCATGCCAAGGTGACCTCCAGGTAGAACTGGTGACATTTGCAGCTAGCAGAACTGGCTCTAGAAGATGCTGCCACTACAGGCTAGTTCTGGAGAACTGCATAAGTGCACATCAGCGTGATGCAATCATATCTCACCTCCATCTCTATAGAACAGCCAGTGTCCTTTTTATGACTGGCGTCTCTGGTTTTGGCCTCTAAGTTTGCAAAAGCACTTTGCTCCACCTGCACTCTTCCTTGCAGCTTTTGTAGCACCACAAACAGGACAGCAGCTGTTCAAGATCTGCTGTTAAAGCAGCAGAGATCTGCTGTTAAAACTGTTCCTGCACCATGTGCTTACCTAGAAAATAACACTCAGCAGCAGGATTTTATGTCCTCACATATCATGAGGAAAAGGTATTGTTTCTCCTTTTCTCCCCTCTCCACAGATAAACCACATTACTCATCTTCATGTTGTTTTATTCCCAGGCTAGCCTATTTTTAACCCATGCACTGTTTGAAACTGTAAAATACAGAGCTCCTTTCATGCAGGGAGGGATATGTTCCTGCCAGCTCCCAGTGTTCTAGGGAATTTGCCAGATCCCTCAATAATCTGATCCCCTGCCTTTTGGCTCCAGTGTTCAGAGCTGGCTCTTTGGTGCGAGTTTTCCCAAAACAAGCTCTCCATCCCCTCCTGTATCGTGCTTTCCCCACTGCCTGGTAACGGTGTGTAAGGTCCATCTCCTCCAGTATTTCCTTCCCCAGCAGAGCAGCCTGAGGGAGCAGCAGGAGCAGTCAGCCCCAACAACACAGGCATTTTCAAGAACGAAGGATTGCTACTTGCAGAGTCCCATTTAAGTTTTCTGGCACTTAGAGCAGCACAGCAAATACACTGAGCTTGATTTCCCCAGCACAAAGTACCCCTTATGGGGCTGCAAAAGCCAGCAGAAGAGCCAGGAGCAAGGAGAGGCAGAAGTCACGTAAAAGACAGGTTCAAACAGGGCCTGAGAGGGGACCAGGTGCAGCTGGTCACTGACAGAGTCACTGGTTACTTATAGACCCACCTTCCCCTTGCTGAGGAAGTCACCTGCACATACCAGGCTTAGCAGTCAAAGGTAAGGGATGTCCCCTACCCTCTGGTGCTTGCGTGGGAATTAGGGTTTAGGCTAATTAATCACAATGGCTAACACTAAGTAAAAAGTATGCAGTGAGGCTGTGATATTGTCAGCTGAGGAGAGAAGGGGGGTGTAACCCTGTTTTGCTGTTACAGCAGTACAGATGCAGGAGCTGAGCATATTGCTGCTCCAGACAGTTATCAGCCACCTGACAGGCTTCGCTTGCAAGCTCTCATTCCCAATTCTATCCAAAATGAACAGATTTTGCAGAAAATGAATGTAATTTTAAAAGTCCCAAGTTAATCAAATGCTTTAAAAACACAGTGCCTGCAATACAATGGATCAACTTTGTCCTGGGTGTCAGCCTATTCACTCCGGCAAGCTTACACCAGAGATGAATTTGCTCTGGTGCCTTTGTCAATAAAATTCTAGATTAAAAGAGCCCCTATATAGAGCTGGTCCCAGAGGTAATTGCTAGTTAATCAGCCAATTAACTGACCCAACGAGTAGGAAAAGGGGAAGGGGGAGCAAGGGGGAAAACAAATCAGTCAAGGTATGGTAGAACATAATTCTTTAGGAGTTAACGTTAGAAACCTTTTCAAAGGGATTACAGCCTACCTTGACTCATTCCCCCCTTCTTCTTTCCTTTCTCTCTTCTTCCCAATTTGTAATTGTTGGCTCCCCTAATTGGCTGATTAACTACTTATTACAGGCAGACCTGGAGGTATGTGGGATCCCGTTAGCCACGGAACCTGATTTCATCTCGTGAAGCAAGGCTGAATGCAGCAGAGCATCTGCATGGGCTGTTTTTTTTTTCTAACCAAGTCTGACTGCTTAGACTTAAGCAGTATTTCTTTTGAGAAGTGTTTTTTTGTTGTTGTTGTTTAACTAGCTTCTAATTTATTTATTTAATACAACCAGGAAAATGAAGGATTTCTTGTTTATTATGCAAGCAAAATGTTTTTTTAGCAATAGATTTTATACCCTTCAAATTAACCTATTTACTGTTCACTGATACCCTAACATTGTTAGGGTATTTTAATGAATGAACTGTTACAGCTGCTTGATGTTTTGATAAGAAGTAACAACAACAGAATTAGTATCTATTATTCTTTGATAGCCTTACCAGGCTGATTTCTACCAGTAGCTACCCTGGGAGATGAGTCCCAGTGGTGAATGGTGAGAGCTGAGGAAGTTACCTTAATTTCCTCTCCTTGGAATTATATGAGGGAAATGCTAAGAGCTCACCTTTGCAGTTGTTGGTGTCACAAAAGATTGACGTTAGGTCACAAGGGAACCAGTCCAGTCTCCCACATCCTGAAACCAAACAACCAAGCAGAAATTCAGTTCCTCTCCAATGCTTCAAAATTTTTGTTTATTGTTCAACGTAAGGCAAATATAGCAGCATCCCATTAATGCATCCTATCTAGCACCATGCAGACAGAGACAGAGCTGCTTAAGTAACAACATCTTAACAACAACATCATAACCTGACAGGTCACTAAGTTGCATCTCTCTAAAATTATACCAATCACTGTGCATGGCTGCATATATTGATGGAACGTTTTGAGCTCTCACCTTCCTATGATTTTTCATAAATAATATTTTTCTCTCCTCATTGCTTCCTGCTTGGGCAGCAGAAACCTGTGCAAAGCAGTAACTTCAAGAGTGTTTCTGCAGGGAGATGGGCACAGGACACGGTTCTCCTAATGTAACCTCTATTGCATAAACCTCAACTCCGAATTCTAGTTCTCTCCTTTGGCTTAGGATGAGAGTTTGGGATTTTAGTTCTATTTAATGTTTGTGATGATTTGTTCCTCCTACCCCTCTTTTCTCCTTTAGCAAAAGAACAGGCTGAGCCCAGGCAGCCCATCCTCAACTGCATGTAAATCACAATCTGATTAGGAAGTGATATATTCATCTCTAACTCCTGCATAAAAGTTATTCAAGTATTTTGACAAAATAAGTGCTGTTTACTTTATACGTTTTCTGCTAATTCTAAAGATTTCTGCAAACCTAAAGGATCTCATGGAATTTACAGGCTTGTGGCTTTGCTATTGAAAGTATAAAGGCATGCTAAATTAAGTTGATTTGCCTGTGAAAGAAACACGTCCATTATTCATGTCAGGGCCCTGTCACATCAAATTGAGGGAGCGAAGAAAACCCTTTTTTATCAACGTTTAGAAGCAAGGAAAAAACCAACCATTGAGAGACTGAATTTCAATTGGGAGAAAGTCAGTCTGAAAGCAAGGTTAAAAAAAAAAAGTTGGGGACATGTCTAATGTTGGAAATCAGCAAAGGGTGGATTGATTTAACTTTGGCTGGAATCTTTCAAACAGAAAGCCAGGAGGAAACTTAAAGTAGCAAGTAGTACACAGTCTCGATGTCTCTCATGTAAACTTGTCAAAAGTAGTTATGCTAATTCAGATTTAAGTCTTTTCAGACACATTTTTCTTGGATACTTCAGAATAGTAGTAAAAACTGTTAAACAGCTAGCAGATTACGTTTGTGTACTACTAAAAATTTTATTCACTGGTTATTACGTGATTTAATCCTTATTAGCAGACAACATATAGTCTTGCATTTTTTTCTTATAAGTCTGATTTGCTGACAGAAAAATTGGAAAAAAAAAAATGCGTTCAGTATGGTTGTTCTATGGCTGCACACAGCTGTTACAGGGGCACTGACAGGATCAAAAATATTCAGGACTGTTTCTTGTCCACTATAAGACGCAGTACTTCAGGGAATCAGAAAATCTTGGCTGATTTTTAAATGACATTGTGCAATAGATACAACATAAATTGCATGTGTATACATGGCATTTTTTACATTTTAAAAAAATGTTTTGCAGTTTACAAACTATTCCAATATAGAGAGAATTAAATGAAAAACTGCAATGCAAATTGTTTTATATGCTGAAATCCTTCTCCCTTCCTGATTACAATTTATTGTGTGGCTCTTCTATTTAACAAAGAAAAAAGCTTACAGTTCCTTCTCATTACAGTTGGTTGTTATAAGCTTAAAAACAGCATGTTAAGTGGCATTTCACAGTCTCCTGCTTAAAGCCTAATTGGTTTAGACTGGACACCTTAGAGATAGTCTTTAAAAGTCCGGTTTTCATGTCTCTGACAATATAATATTGTACAAAGGATAATTCAGCAACTTGATTGTCTTAAATCATGTTTCTGCATACCAGACCTATACATCATTTCTTGATGAGATTTGTTTTCCTACCTTTTGTTTTTCCCTAACCTCAGAGCCCTTGGGTTAACATGTTTTCTGCTTTAAAGCTCTTATTTGAAAGACACTTTACCGCCTCATGCAAGCACTCTCTCAGGCTTCCCAACTTCAAAGTCTCAAGCTGGGAAAGCAAATCTAAGTCCCAAATGCTGGACCCTGCAGCTTCTATAGGACCCTCTGCTAAAGTTAAGTTCTTGTGTTTAATTGAAAATTGCAGCCAGTGTAAATAGGAGTTAGTTTGTGGCAATCTTGCCACAAAGGAATTACCTTGTGGAGTGGCCACATTGGGGTAAATAGAGGGGATAAAAAAAGAAAAGGGGGAAAAGAAAAAAAAAAAAGAGGAAAAAAAAAAAACGGGTAAAAGAGAGAGGCATTGTACTGTGGAGGTAGCATCAAGACAAGGATTAATGGCTAAAGGAATTGTATTTTGTGTGCTTTCAGTGACATTACAATCTCCCAAAAGTAAGTGTTACTAATAAGTGGGCCAGTAAAGGGAGGTTAGCGTATCAAGGGAAATGGGAAGATGTTTTTGCAATTAACAGAAGACTTTTATTCCATAAAGACCAAGCAAAGTGCTGCTGATTTGTTTATTTTTAGTAATTACATTTGGATCGATTAACAAAGTTAGTTTCTTATAGAGCTGACAAGTGATGGGAAGTGATTTATACATACCGCAGAAATTATATTTTCTGCCTATTTATGCTATTCCTAAGTGCTCCCAACTTTATTCTACACTATTGCTGGCAGGGAGAAATTCAGTCTGCATTTCACTGTGGATATGTTGTGCAGATCTAACGTTGAAATTCATGCAGCCACACGGGAACCCTGTCAGCCCCTACCGCACCAGCACAGCGGGGGCAGTGGCTGTGGGAAGGAGGGCAGGTTCCCCTTTCAGCGCTTGAATCTCTGCTGCCCTGGGATTATGGTGCTGATAGAGGCTGACACAACGTTATCTTTGCAGTTACTGAAAAAGACATGGCAAAAATTAGGAGAAAGCAGTGGTGCTCCTGTTTTCCTTCCTCCCTCTCCCAGGAGCAGGGGTGAGGTGGGTTTTTTGCCTGTTGGACTCCCTGAGCTGGCTCAGTGAACGGTCAGGCAAGCAGCAAAACTGGCAGAAGGGAGTGAACAGGAGGAAATAAGGTCTCCTTTTTCAGAGGGAGCTACAGTTTTAGTAGCTCAGCTGTGCTATGAAACATGTTATGAAACCGCAACCTGAGACTTGCTAGATTTGGGCTCAGTTCATAATTTCTGTACCACTTCCCAAGCGAACCTGGCTACGTCATTTGATCTCTTAATTATGGGCTTCTCCACCTACAAAATGGGAAGAATAACTTCTTTTTTTCTTCCAAATTTCTGATCTCTTCTTTATAATGCAAAGCAAAGTATGGACACTGTCTTCATGGGAATCCATTCAGCAACTGCAACAAAATTTTTTATTAAAATTATTATTACAATGATAATTTAAGCAAATGTAATGACCTCTATTCTGTCTTGAGCAGACCACTGATACCATGCATTGCATCACCCCATGACAATAGAAACAATTCAGTTATGGAAACTTTGGATGTTCTGTAAAAGTAAGAGTAAGGACGTTATCGGGCAGTAAAATTGTTCCATTGCTATCACTGCACCAATGAAATCAGAGTCTAAAAATAGAGTGGAAGCATAACTGGGTTTATTCATACATAATGCAGAATTACAGGAAACTGTAACAGAATTCAGTGAGACGCTCCACAACATTTTTATTTCATTTTACATAACCTATTTTTAATAAAATATAGAATCTGTGAATTTAAGCACACTACTAATACAAAACAGAACCATTCTGTTTTAAAACAGAAAATTGCATTCCTACTCACTTTTCAGTAAGGGGCATATAAGTTGAAGCAGTTCAAAACTCTTTGAAAAGTTTCTGTGGTGTGAATCCATTGGTTGCACCTGTGAGAAACAGTACTGATTAAATATTTAAAAATCCTAATTATTATCTAAATAAATTACTTTAATAGGGTAATATTTTTGGAAGTTCTAAAATTGTGCATTTTGCCAGGAATTCACTAAGACTTCTCTTAGTCTTTCTTCTTGAAATTTACTATTCACTTAATTCTTGAATTTAAATAGCATTTTACCTTATTTATTTACTGTCATGGTAAATAATTGAATTGTACATGGTGTGAGACTCTCTCCATGTGTACACAAGTGTCAGACCTTTCAAACTGGGATCAAAATGAAGTCAGAGAAGGAAAACACTTAGTTTGACACATTGCCCATTACTATTCTGCTTACAGTACACACTTGGGAAGTTTTCATGTTCATAACTCACTGTCTGTGATGCACATACCTCTTAAAGATATGCAAGTTCATTTCAGCATTTATCTGCTCTTTTCTCCTCAGGAGTTCGACTGTTTTTCCGCCTGATGGTTAGAATGAATTGAATATTTTGAACTCATCCATCAGATTTGGAAATGATCCCTGAATTGATGAGAGTGTTTAACAGTTAATTGAACATTTCTATTGTGAACTTTCATTGTTCCAAAGTGCAAAAATACTGCTCCCAGGAACACGGACAAAGAAAAGAGGATCCACACCACGCTCTCACACCACAAATATTTTCATCCTCTAGAGAGCAGCAGGCATTTAAGTAACAGGGCATCACTCTGTTCTCAATCTTGGATATGGCAAGGAAGGGTGATCTGAAAAGGACTTTCAGAGGTCCTGAGGGCTCCCATGTCTTGTAGTAGGAAATAATCCCACATTTTTCAATTCCATGTTTTGTCTGTGCTTATCTCACACAGAGTGACCTCCCTAAAAGTACAATTCAGCCATCTCCCTGCTTCCTGTAGCCACGTGGGACAAATGTTCATAGCAGCAGTCTCAATTATTCGTCTGCCTGTGTGACCCACACAGCAGGGCTGATTTTCTTGTGTTTGTAAATTGGCATCTGCAGATACAACACACGCTGCAGCTTACAGTGAGGCTGTTTTAGTTGTTTTTTGATTTTAATACGATTTGCGTACCTCATTCTTTGACTTTTTAAAGTTCGCCAGAAGAAATCAGGACCTAGGGACATTAAAGTCAGTTTACTGCAATATATTTCTACTTACGCTCAAAACACTCTCTGGACAGTGTCAGAATCATTTCCAATACACTACCAATGAGAACAGGTCCATGAAAATAGGTAAGTATGGTTTGGAGGGGGTACTAGATTCTGTGGTAGCGTCATTTTCTGTGGGTTTGAAAAGCAATCATTGCCTTTAATGTACTGCAATACAGTACAGTCAGCTCTAGCTGCCTGAACTGCATTTCCCTCCAGGTGCTGTGCACTTTTCAAACTCCATAAAATCTGTTTAATTTTCTGATTTTCCAATCATTTGGGTAATTGGTAGCTCCCTCCTCCCCCTCTGCTGCATGGCCAGCAGAAATGCAGGCAGCGAGCCTAATTCTTACTGTGCATGGGCCGCTGGCTTCATCCCTTTGGCCATCTTGTATTTGTGTACATACAGAAAAATATTTTAGCAATGTTTAACCAGGTTTTGATAAAATCACTCAAAACTTCATATCAAATCAATTCAATAGGTGCAAACTGTGGTTTAAATACACATAAAAGCATCAGAGAGAGTTTTAGCTGAACTGAGACAGTTAGATAGCTATAAGTTACCAACAGGGAAAGGAGTTTTTAAAAACTGTGTTAACTGTGTTGTCACAGAAATCCATCAGAATGACATCTCCAATTTCAGCAGTGCAAAGGGTCCAGGCAAGGAGGAACACTTTGGAAAGAGGTGGATCGATGTACCCACTCTTATCCTTACTTGCTGCTTTATACCCACTCTGACTTACTCCTGAGTGGGAACGCCTCAAAGCTGCAAATGCCCTCTAGCCCTTGGCACATTGGGCCTTTCAGGCTGAGCTGTGCCTTCCATAGCACCAACAGCAAATGTAATGACCCTTAAGTAAGGAGCAGGAGCAGAGATTGCAAGTTCATCAGTTGTAAGCAACAGAGAAAAGGAAAGATGGGGCGGGAGGGAATTCCTAATCAATCACAGGATAACAAAGATGGACTGAAGTGATGCAGCTGCAAAAGAAAGCAAAGGTGATCCCAAGCCCCAGCTGGTGAGGGCTGTGTATCTATGTACTACTGCACTGGGGACCGCTGAGACCTCACCAGCTAAAACCATGCATGGTTCTGTTCAGGAAGGTAGGATTCAGCCTCAATCCAGGACAAAGAAATTAAAAGCAGCTTTTATGCAAGGAGATTAAAAGAACTTCCTGCTAACTACAAGTGAATTGGGGTAAAAATCATTCTTTGGAGATACAACACAGGCAAGAACTGTCCAACTTACTTCATTTATGGTACTTCCAGTATTAATATTCAAACATTATTAGTCCTACCATGAGGCTGGCCTAAAATTAATTCTTTCAAGTACTGATAGAAAAACTCTAAGGTTTTTATTCTTTTTTTTCTTCATCCTACTATTTAAAATACGAGTGTGTATGTTGTTCACAGGAGCTAGCTTCTCTTAACAATCATGGCTTGCTTTTAAAAATATATATATATAAAAACACAAGTTCCTTGGGAAATACCTTAACTCTTCTGACTTAACAACAATTCCTCCCCAAATTAAAACATGGTGTTTTTTACTGTATTGAATCTGGATACAATTTGTGAGCTGGTGATGTTTAAATAATAATAAAAAAATAACATCAATGCAATAATTAAAATGACTGTTTTCATATTGATATTGAGTAATGTTACATACTTCTAACTTGAGCAACTTTTCTGCTAGTAGCTCTAGAGGAGCATGTAGGAAGCGCAGGAGGTGTTTGCAAGGCTGCCTGGTAAATGCAGTCCTGACACCACTCTTCCTACCACCTAGTGCAAGACACCAAGGGGCAGTTATGACACAGTGGGTGTGGGAATAAAGGATTTCTACCCGTATCCAGTAACTCCTACAATAACAGCTTCAAGTGCTGTGAATATTTCTTCCTGGTCCCACCCCCGGTGTTTTACCGGGCTGTCAGGGGTGCAGATTACACAACAGATTACTTCAGACACCCTTGCAATTTGATTCATATCATCTAACGAGATATGAGGGGAGGAGGGGCAGGGTTTACACCCATTGAGAGATTTGACCACATTAAGACTGGGAGTAGCTTTACAGATCGTTCAATGAGAGCCTTAAAAGGTATTCTGTATCTTTATGCACATCCAAATATTTACAGATCTTTTAAAGATCAAGACCATCGTTATCAGTTTATGTGCTATATATTGGCATTATCCAGCGTGACCTCAGGAAAGCCGATGCCCTGCAGCAGCAATGCGATGGTATGTTCAGCTCTGCTGGATCTCCATAGAGGGGGCTTGGAATGCACCAGGGAACAATACCCAGGACTGCACAGAGCAAAGAATGAAGGGCAGCAGAGTTTGATAACCACATTAAAGCACCACCAACATCTGTTCAAGCCAAAGACAACACTATCTCCAGGAATTAACCTTCTGAACCACTTAATCATTAACCTCAGCAGAGAGAAAGTTAGACAACAAGAGCCTATTTGTCAGCAGCCCCTTGCAGATATGTGGCGAGCAATATTTTACTGAGAACAGCGTGAGAAGGGCTTGCCCAGCTTTATAAATTTTAAACACAGAATATATTTGTGTGGGAAACAAGAAGACAATAGATGTAAATAAACAGCTGATCCTACCTTGAAGCCTTCATCCATTTATCCTGTTTGAAGTAGCTTGCCTGTTTTGTCCTCCATTGTGTAATAACATTTCCTCTAAACAGTTAGAGATGCTTCGCTTCTTGTTTAGAAATATTCCTGGGCTTGGAAAAAATTACAAATGGATAGGATGTTAAAATTTTAAACTTGCACCCATATCTCCAATATTTCTACTGAAAAACAAATAGGTGATTATTGCTTTGCAAAAAGCAGGAGTGCTAGAGAAGTAAAGCAGTTTTGTTTAACAATTACTTGTCTATATATACTGCTTGACATGTGAGGTCACCCATTCAGTTATTCTGCTATAACCTGAACAAATGTCCTCCCTTCACAAGATTACAGTTGTTACAGATTTTGTTTCTTTTTCTTTTCTTTTCTTTTTTTTTTTTTTTTTTTTTTCCAGAGGAAAGGCTTTGGTTTCCTCTAACTAGAGTGCCCCAAATTTGTAGCAAAACTACACTGTGGTGTATTGGGGGCAATGCTTTATTTCTCTGGACTTCACATAATCATTTACCAAGGGGGTGTAAAACACTGCCACATAAGAATAATGCTGTTTAACACCCACTTTGCACCAACCTCAGTGGCCACACAAGGTGTAGGACAATGCATCATAAGGCTCTGTATGGCCTCACAGATATTGTCACAGTTAGAGGGGGTGGGGAAAAAAAATAAAACTGTTGAGAAGATGAGTGACAGAAGAGCTAGCTGACAGACTGGTCTCTACTGCCCACATGGGTGGCTCCTGTCTATTACTACTGGAACTGCTCAAGAGAATTATCAGGTCTCTGCTGGCTGCAAAAGGGATGGTCTAATCCCAAGGGATGAGGGAGGTAGAGCTCAGCCATCTGTTGTTTTTTGCTGGATTAACTTTCTGTTGGTGAACAAGTTGAACCATCTCAGTCCAGAGCCTTGTGTACGTCCCAGCACACGGGTAGGATCATTCAGCCAGGGACAGTCACACTTGCAGGTAGCAGCAAGATCTTAAAGCAGCTCAAGCCACAATGTGTAACTTCAACTTTATACATTTGCTTACAAAGCAGACCAATAACAGCAAAAAAAAAAAAAAATCCATAATGCTTTTTTTTTTTTTCCCTAATAAATGGTACACTATTTGTACCCTTGTTAGAAAAGCCCAGGTTGAATGCGCATAGAAACTGAGTTATGCTCTCAGATCAGGAGTCAGACTGCACCAGTAGAAGCATCAGTCTGGTCTGTCTTCCCTTACCTGAGCCTGTCCAGACTTAAGACAGAGGCACTATATTCCAACAGCAATCTATTACATCACGCATGAATTATGTCACCCAGCTCACCTGACCTTAATTCTTTCAGTGTGAGAATCATGGCTGATGTGTTGACCAAAAAAGAAAAGAAAAGAAAAAAAAAAAAAGCATAATAATTACCTATTTTTAAATTACCAAAAGGTAAACAATATTGTCTCCTCAAAGATGGTCATTTACAAACACACTGGGAAGATGCTCCTCTGGTCAAAGCATCTTAGGGAAATTATTTTCAGACAATTCATTTCTCCAACAGGTTTATTCATCATAGTCTATATTCCCACAAATTGATTTCTCAGGGCTTATTATGGTAATTTAATCCTCACTGATGACTGTCGGGGCACTTCGGAGGCTGAGCAGCATAACTGGGTTTTAAAGCACTGTCTGCTGAGAAGACTAAACTGGAGCAGCAGACAAGGCACTCTCCTTTCACTTGGGTCGCTGAGCTCATTAATGTGGATAATTAATTGGAGCTTTGTAGCTCTCCCTTTGTACACCGACAACAAGCAAGTCACAGTAGCTGTACTACATCCCCCCCTCACCTGAGCACTCTTGCACAGACACCTGCTGCTCATAATTAAGATCCATTGCCCAAATTTACATATCCTGATTTGTATCACTCAGCTCCTGGAGACAAAGGATTGCATTTACTGTGGGGAAATGACAGCTCAAATTATGCTTCTCGTGTACGGCTTGCCTGGGCAGCTGCTTGTGCTAAAGGACCCTGACATGAAACACCAGAGTGTTTCTATTTAAAAAGTATATGTTTGGATTGAATTTAAAGAAAAGCACATGGTGATTTCCCCCTTAGGGGGATAATAGGCTTTTCATTAGATAACAAGTGTCAAAAGATGCCATAAACTTCCCCGCAGGCTTTGTTGCCGCGCAGCGCTGCACGGAGCGCAGCAGTGAACTTGCAGGGTCCCCCCCTCTCCCCCTTAACCCGCTGCTCACGTGCATGCATTGGGTTTAGGAAGAGCAGGCATCTCACACTCCACGCAGTGAAGACCATACCCTCAGCTCACCAGCAAAGAGGAGGCTGAGCACTGAATCCCCGATTCAGCAGGGCTGATACGGCACAGGAGAGAGCACAGCCAGGCTTCTGACTGAAAAGACAGTCAAAAATGCCAGGTATTGCCATGCAGAGCAAATGGAGTGTGAGGCTCCCAAAGACAGTTCAGGTGGAAACAGTTTTCCATATACACCTACAACTTTTGCTGTCACCTGTTCCTCAGATTTTGGGGCAATGCAAATAGCAAGAGTGAACCTACTGGTGATAGCCCAAGTCACCCCTTACTACACTTTTCCTCCAGGTTTATTAGGTTGCTAAAATGCCCATGTGCAAGATTCAGCCTTCATTCAAAGACCTATAAAGTCTTCACTGTGTTTGAATCAGTCATCCAAATGATTAAAATAATTCTAGATCTGATTTATTCACATATCACAATTAACGTTAGGTACATGGGGTCTAACCCAGAAACGCTACAAGGGCAGGACCGTGTTGTCAGTGGGACTGGCATTTATAACTTGCTTCAGCTCATTTTCAAATCTGGAACTCACCTTCAAGAGAAGGAGTTAAATTAAAACTATGAATACCAAACAGTAGAGTGAATGCAGAAGAGCAGAGAGACTGTAGATAGGACAACTACAGCTACCTGGGTTCCTAGGGCTAAGATGATAAACTACACACACCTGAGGTTTGATCCTGTTTGGCTATTCCTTTTTTTCAGGGATGAAAGCAAATATTTTGTTCATGGTATCAGAAGAGCAAAGTCCCACACTAATTCTGAGTTTCTTTCTTTAAGGGAACTTTTAACAGAATCTGACATTAGAGTTACCTAACCATGTCTGCTCCTGAAAATATTAGAACTATGGATATTTCATTGCTCACATTTGAGAAAAATAGAAAGGAAACTAATTTCTAATGGAACTAACAGCTACTGAACTTCATTAAAAATAAAGACACTTCAGAAGTAGAAATGAAAATGGTACATTATTCCTTATCTGTGACATAACTTCAGAATACATCCATAGGAGTACCTGTTCAGCAGCCTGTGGCAAATGAAAAAGACAAAGAAAAACATTGCATTGGGAGTCATTAATTGAATTAATTAACCTAGTGACATTGTCATAAGAAGAATTTATCTGGCAACCAGCAGGAGCAGATCTCTAATCATTTCACCATGGCTTCTTCCACAGATTAACAGTCACACAAGCCCCTGGCAGCTGGCTGTTAACATTGCAAATTATCAGAAATTAATTAGATAAATGCTGTGCACCCATGTGGATATTTTTGTTATTTTTTTAAGTAAAGATTATGAAGCCAATAGCTTGTCTGATGATTTATTTGGAGAAAACATCATTGTTTAAACGAATAGGTTGCAGCATGGCTTTCTAATGGGAGAAAAGAAAAAAAAAAAGGGGGGGGAGGTGGCTTAGAGCAAACCATAGTAACAAAAGCCAAACACTTGTAAACAGGAATTAAACAATCCACCCTGAAAATAGGGACATACACAAATGAATTCAGAAAGGTCTATTATTTTTGGAGAATAAAAATAATACCATTTGCATACTTTTCAGAATAATTAAGGTCACTGCTTCAATCTATTAAGCTGGCATCCAACTCTTCAGAAGTACTTCTGCAAGATAGCTTTATTCATCCAGAGTAGCCAGCATATCACACACGATAAACAGAATTTTAAGGAAATTGAAAGAGGCTACATAAAGCTTGGCCTTATTATTTCCTGCAACCTCTTGTCAGAGTAACAGGCGATGTAACCATCACACTTTAGAAAGACTCCTTTAGATACTGCAGTGCTTCTTAGTAGTAGTCAAGGACTTGCCTAAAATAAAGTCTTAATCTCCATGTAATTCAAACAAAAGCAAAAGAGATTCATTCTCGCTAATGGATTTCAACTGTCCTCTTAAAAATCTCTTTTATTTCTACCTGACAGTGCTTTATTTGTATGTTTTTTATTTAAATAGACTTTGAAAACTCCCAAAAGCAGCTTTTGAACATGCAAAACCGGCACTTTACAAACAACTGTAACTCATTTATATTTAACAACCTCCAATAATCCACTCTTTTGGAGGAGTGGAGTTTATAGAATACAAACAATAACAAACTTAGCCCAAAAATCTGCAGATTCATCTGGACACAGAGCTGCTGTGAGGGTGAAGGGGGGGCAGGGGGAAAGGGAATAGGAGAAGAGAAAGATGAGAGTGGAGACTAACGTTCTTGGAGGATGTATGGAAACACGGAGGGTCAGGAAGGATGTTGCTGACACTCAATACTGAGGCACTAAGGAGGCAATCACAGGTCTGAAATAATATCTTGTAAGAGACCCCAAGGGAAACCCAGCTGGCCAGGTTATCATTCCAGGCTAATGTGATATTCTTCCCACTGGGAGCTGTAGGCTCACAGTCTCAGGTTTCCAGTCCCTGGGGGAAGATGAAGCTGCTGAGGGTCTTTCTGAGGACAAGGCAGCTCACAAGGGCTGTGAGAGGTCCTCACACAGCAGGTGTGGAGCTGGACAAACACAGCAAGGGCAGCGCAAAGCGAAGGGATTGGTGATGCTCTCCCTTCTCACAGTGAAAACAAAAATGCCCTGACACTCAGGAGCACTGCCCCACCTGGGCCAAGCTATTCTCCAGCTTTCCTCCTAATCACTGGTAGGACACGTCACAGACTCAGAAAGCTCAGTTATGTTTGGCTAAAAACAGAAACAACAGTTTTGGGGAAGTGGAGATTTCCACTGTTTCATTGTGCATGGGAACAAAGCCCTCATCACAGAAACTCCTTTAAACCAGAAAGCTGTGCTCAGTGCCTGTCTGCAAAGTGGGGATGTTCACAGACAGTGCGTGGGTAAATCTGGCAGCTGCCAACTTTGTCTGTCCCCTACCTGCCCACCTGACTAGCAGGCTACGTCCATGCCAGGTATGTAGCTGGGAAATGTGCCTGTCTATGTGCCTGCCTATGCACAGGCAGCCATAAAGGCTTCCCTGGAAAATATATAACCTCTAGAAACCTCAAGTCCTCAGACATCAACAACCTCCAGTGCTATCAAAGCAATCTAGGAAGTACCAGCCATTTCCTAGTATATTCCCATGCTCTTGCTCATGGATGTACAGTCACTTGTTAACACGTGTACTGGTCTAATTTTAAACAGCTGCCTCTCTTCCTATGCTTGACAGGTGACTTAGTGGATAAATACTGCAGAAGCGAAATAAAAGACAGCTTCTTGAAAGCTGATACCTCAGCTAGGCTTGGTTTCTTGCTTCTTGAGAAGCTGCTTTATCACAGCATGAATCTTACTGTTGCACAAGACAAACTGTCAACTCAGAAACTTACAATTAAGCCCCTAAATCTGTGTTTATGCAACAAAAACAAAATATCAAATGCTGATTTTTCATTGCCAGGCTGCAGAAACCTGAACTTTGTATCTTTATATCTATACATTATATCTTTATATTCTGACACAAATAAACACCTCCTGAACTCCAGAGTTAAGGAGGTGTTGGGATAAGGCTACATGGAGTAAGACGGATAAATAGAAATGCAGACACTAGAACCTGATCACTTAATTATGACATGATTTTCTTAGGATGCGAAATTTTCTATTTTTAAACCATTTAATTTCTTTTATTATTGACTACCACAGGAATTCAAATAATCAAGAGCTAAGCTACCTAAACTCTTCATATATATATATATATATATATTTATGTCTTTTGGTATTTGAATTCTTATGGACCCCTCTCAAGCATTTATCTTAATGTCAAAATTATGTAATTTAAAAATCAGTTTTTAAGTGAAGATAGCAGTTATCATTAAAAGAGGGAAAGAGAGAGAACTCCATTACAAAAACAAGCAGTAGCCGAACCCTTCTTAGCATAAGCTTGTGAGGTATTTCCAATTATGCTGCACTTCAGGAGAACTGAAAAGCCCACTTAGTATAATAAGCATGTGTACAAGCATTTACAATATTTTTCATGCAACAGTCTGTGTGCATAGATGCTCAGGCAAAGAAGCAGTTGAAGAAGACTGCACTTCACCCTGAGAATAATTTTAAAAGCCCTTTGAAAATGTTGTGTATCATATCGTGAGCATCGTACTGAGGCAGAACTAAAGAGGAGACTTTTTTTCCTCAGTGAAACTCCAGGATTTATATTTTTCAGCATTCTTGTGCCAGAACTGTCTTATGTGAGTACTTTCAAGTAAAATAAATCTTTAGCATGTATGATATACTGCCATGCAAAGCTAACTAAGTGTCTAACTTCTTTTGTGGATCTTGTCAAAATCCCTTGTGCATATATGCACGTGTGTTTGCCCCTACACTACAAAAGCACAGGAAGTCTCTCTTCCAGTTGAAGTTGTGCCTCTTCATCTCCTCATATCCAAAGAGAAATGATATTCCCAAAGGCTTCCACTAGGAAAAGACTGCAAGAACAATTTTTGCATAAGTTTTACTGTGCTGAGATGACAATAGCTTGTATTTTTTCTACATCAGAAAATCTTTTCATGTATCCTTTAGTCCCCCAACCCATTATAAACTTATGTTCCTCAGTGTAATGCAAAATAAATCATGGGAGAAGACGGTAGCTTTAACCAGAATTTTCAGGGGGAAAAAAGAAAAAAACAAAAAAAACATGTTTTTTATTTTCTTGCACTTTCCTGGGTGACTTGTCATGTCAAATAGTGTCAGTCACATCTGATTAGGTGACTTTATGACTCCAAGACATAAAGCTACATGACTGATGCACCTCAATCCAATGCGCTGCAAGATGACTCCCCCTCTGGGAAACTTAAAACAATGCACTTTTCAAAAAGCTTAACCCTTAAAGCTCAGAGTCAAATTCCACTAGCATGCTTCCATTACAGTGATATGATAGATGGTGACCGTTGACATAAAGGTGTAAAGAAGTGTGGCTTTTCAGAAAGTGAGCTGATTCAGTATAATGTCTGAAGAATAAGTTGGTGAGTTTTTGGCTTGGTATTACTGTCTCAGACAGTGGCTCTATACCCTTATAAAAATTGCTTTAAGGAACATATTTAATTTCTAATAAATTCTAAATATTTTGCTCAAGATTTACATGGAATAAACAGGACAGGTAATTTCTTTGTTTCAGTTATCCAACCTTTTAGTTTGTAAAATCATATATACTTACAGGTCATACATTACATCTCTAAGTCAAAGAATTATTAGCAATGGATTTATGCATCTGCAAATAATGAGGCACTATAATTGAAACAAAAGCAGCCAGTTCACAGAGTAACAATTTACAGGTCATCATGGTTTTATCATAGTATGTTTTATGCCTAAATATGAGAAGTTTTAATAAAATGTTAATTGGTTAATGAAAAATCTCAGGGGAGAGATACATTAATTGCCACCTATGGTTATTTCCCCCTTTTATTTAAACTCATTGATAAGACTGGGATGCTCTGGGATATATACCCTGAGGAGTAGCATTTTCATGATATTTTGAAAGTAATTTACTATTTATTTTAAGCAAGAGAAGAGACACACAAAGCAATAAACACATGGTATTATTCATCACGGATTTGTGCTTTTTTAACAAAAGCTAGTCCAGATATCTACTCAGATATAATCTAACAACATGGAAATAATTGTGCTACATCAAAATAATACAGGTGTTTTACCTGTAGAAAGTAACACATTTCAGCATTAGCTATTACCATACCATAAAGTAATATTATTTTCTTGCAATACATGATGATTAGATCTCAAAAAATCACCTTGTTTATCTGCACAATCCTCATTTTAGCTCTTTTACCTATTTAAAAATAATCCACCAGGAAAAAAAAAATGGAACAGGTTGTAATGACATTATTTTGAGAATTTTATGGAAAAAGTAAACCCTGTGGTGTCCAAGGAAGAAATACTGCAGCAGCAACGAAGGACCTGCACTTTGCCTTAGGTGCCATGGACAGCACCCATCTCCCTCTCTGGATCTTTCCATAAACTCTGGGATGCTGAACCTAATAGCCTTCTACCCAGGAGAGTCAAACACCACAACACCTACTAAAGATGGACTAAACATGGAAAACGTTGGCCCAAAGCTAACCAGCATGAGTTGATCTGCAATTTATACTGCTGGACTGATTCAAAAAGAAAAGTCTGTGTGTCAGCAACTGATGTAAAGTCTTCGTATGTCTGTGATGGCTTATGGGTGACATCCTGATTAACAAATCATACCAATAAAAAACTAAAATTACATAAATTAAATCGATTAATAGGTTCCTAAATGTAATTATAAATAGCAATCTTGTCTGACAGCTTTTTCAAGTGCAGTCCCTAAGGGTCTGTTCTGTGCTACTTAACATTTCTATCAATGACTTGGGAATAATATAAAAACATTACTGAGAAATAATGCAGACTGGGGGAACATTCAATTAAAAAAAAAAAAAAGAGTTAACCATTAATGCAAAGTGAGCTGGACGCCTCTGTAAATTATGCACGAAGAGCAAATATATGTTTTAGTAGCACAAAATATAAAATCAAAAATCTGAAAATTAAGTATGCAGGCCAGAGTAATGTGATGAGGAATCTATGCTGGAGAGCACTGACTTTGAAAAAAATCTGTGGGCTGTGGATGAAAATTATTCTCCTGCACAATGAGTTATCTAAGGGGGCCAGTATAATCTTGGGGTATATAAGCAGCAGAATCTCAACGCTCTTTTACCTTTTTACCTGGTATTGGTACTACTGTTCCTGAAATCTGTCCACAACTCTGGCATTTACAATTCACTAATGATGTAGAATCCAAGAGCCCAGACAAGTAAATGAATGAGTAAAGTGCAGGAAAATGTGTTTTGTGGTGAAAGACTCCAAGAGCTCATTCCAAAAAAGATCATCTGACTTGATCATAGCCCCTACACAGAACAGAAGAAAGAGGAATTTCATAGCTGATGCTGCTTTGTTTTGGATAAAAGATACAGTAGTAGATGGATTTTGAAATTTGATAAATTGATATTAACTACAAAGTTCAGATTTCACACCATCGTTGAGCTCATAGAAGAACAGTGCATTTTTTTTCTTTACTGTGCACAGATGGCTCTGTGAAGACAATATTTTAGTTGAAGCACAAGTACTGACCTTGCAGCAATGATTCATGAAGGCAATCCCACCACTTAGGTTATTCAGGAAGTTAAATTAGATGATCATGACCATATCACTGCTGACCTTTAAATCTATGACAGTAGCTGAAGATTAGACCCCAAGTCTAGAAGAAAGAAAAAAAAATAATGCTCACATTAAGGATAGTTAGCCATTGGAAACTACTCTAAGGACCATCTGTAGTGCTCATATTATTAACCATGTTTGTCCCTTACAGCCATGAGTTGGCTAAAAAATCCTAAGAGAAATACAGGCAGAAAATTTTCACCCTTACACAAGCTGCACAAAAGGATCAAGAACAATTGTTCCCAGTGGGAAGGGGAAAACTGGAACAAGGGAATCTTATGAACCTTGCACTATTGATTAGTGGCACTCAGCTAGGACAGTAGTAAATACTGATGGACCATTGCCTATCACTGCTAGTCAAGGTTTCCGTGTGCACTGGTGTAGAAGGGATAAGAAGCATATGACACTTCACTGGACAGAGGACAAGACTTAGATTTGCTGAAAATGAGTTGCATTCAGTTATTTAAATTGAGTCCAAATTTTTACAGCAGCAGAACATATTTGGTTCTGCAAGGAAGACAGGACTGAAAAACAGACACCAGTATATTTTATTTGCATTTATTCTGATATTTTAACATGAGAGGTGACTGCGAGCTAGCCCAGCATTATGCCATCTGTATCTGTAAGACCAGCTATAGCCTTATTATATTTGTGAGGAGGAGCTGACTGATTCAATTGCTTATTATTCCACTATATCACTTCCTTTTTTTGCTTGCACTCTTAATCTAGTAATAGCAAGACTGAGATTCTAGAAGCAGGCAGACTCCTACGCCATTACAGCCTGAGTGCAAAAAGACACTGCATGATGAATTCCCACCTGCATCAAACACTCTTATCTTCTTCCCATTTCTTGTGCCCTCTCCCACTCACCTGGAACTGAACACTTCCCCTTTGCTTTATCTTATCTTGAAAACAAGGAAATACCGCAAGGTACATGTCAATATGACCTCTGTGAACTAGGAAAAAGCTGTCTAATGTAATGCCTTGTGGCTCCATTAAACCAATTAAAGATGCATCTTGAATTCTAGCAGTGTTGGGAAAAGAAAATAAGCTTTAGGCTGTGAGTTTAAAAAATGTAAAGAGACTAAAGACTTGCTCTTCTGCTCAGAGATTCTTCATAAAATGCATTTACATAGGAGATTTCTAAAAATTACTTCTACATGCTGCTTTTTCATTTATTGAATATTTACACCTTGTTTAAATGTCATAGATTAAACCGAAAGTCTTAGTGTTCTAGGCAAGCCGACTGGGGAAATAAGAAGTAACCTTGAACAAAATGATTAGAAATTTTCTTTCCATAGTTTAGGATTTAGTAAAAGAATAAACAGGACAAAACAATTGCATTTACAGGATTGCCTTTGCCTTATCAATGTACAAATTACATACATCAGGGAAGACTGAGGAGTGAGTTTTGCCACTATCTTTCCTCCTATGTTTCCATATTAAACTATACTTTTTGACCAGAGACAGTTAGGGTATGTTAAATACTCTTTAGGTCAGAGAAGATTGCTATACTTTTGATTAATGACTGGTTATCCCACATTGACCATACTGCAGTGTACATAGCAGAGCAAATCCAATGTGGAGAAGCAAAGGCAGGATGCTGGTTGGCTTTAGGAAATCTGAAATGCTTGTGGAGTGTCTGGACTGTGCAGGAAGAAAAAAATTATAATAATGAAAGAGCAGTCTTGAATATCCTGCTTTTCTGCAGCTGGTATTTACCTTTGAGTGGAATCAGCACCAGAGTAATACTGTCTGAAGCTAGGGATGGACAAGTCTAAGGAGCACTAATTATCGAGATGAAGTGAATTGGAGTTTGGCATGACTAACTTAGATCCTTATTTGCCAGGAATGACTCATGTTTCCTTATGCTGTGGAAGCAAAAATGTTTCATTTCATGATAACATTTGAGTAAGCAAAGTCAAACAGACCTTAAAAACTTCTCGGTATCTCTGAAGAACTGAGGAAGCCCATGTTCCTGCATCAGTCTTGCCCTGCTAACATCCAGACTGAATGACTTCTTAATCTGAAGACAGATAATATTAGATATATGCCAACTACATTAATAGGAATTAATTGGATGAATTAACACGGAGACCTTTTCTACACACGACTGTTGCAATAGTATACAGAATTCTGGTTGAGGATGTAATCTACAGAAACAGATGAACACTGGTATGATCTTTAGCATAGGCACCAATTTAAAGACCACCTTATTGGGTTTCCTATAGAGTAACAGATGTAAGGAATGCTTGCAGTGCCATCTTTGGTTTCTGACTATGCCACTGTAATGATACTGGGATTTAGGAAAGCAGTGTAATTTCTGGGTGCAGGGAGTGCGTTAGTGTCGGAGAAAGCCTTTACAGGAAATTACCTTTGATTATCTTCAACAAGTGGCCTTTGGTTTCAGCCTGTCTCATACAGGAACGTGATTACAAGACTGTTAAAATGTATAATGTAACAGAGGTGTTTACAGTTTACCTGAAAATGTATTGTTTTATTTCTAAATTTTCACCCCGCTGTTGAGGTCAAGAAGCCGCTTCCCTGTGGGCCTGTCTAACTGCAGAGAGGATCTGTAGCCACTTCCGAACTGCATCAGCAGATACCCAATCTTGGATGAAAAGAACTGGTGAACTTTTGATAAATGCTTTCCTGAGATGAAGTCTGAAGACCTGCCCTGAGGTGTGTCAACAAGATGCTTCTGCAGATATCCCACGGAAACACAGATACTGTTCCATGTGATGGCATTAAACTAGAATTACATTTCATCAGCTTCATTGTCAGTCCAAGGTAAAAGTGAAACATTCACTAGGCAGAATCCAAAGGGACAGCATCAGCAAATTTCCCTCCTCATCCAGTCTGTGCGACAGAACTCTCTTCTGAGAGTGGAAGATAGTTGTTTCTACAGCCAAAGTGCTGTAATTGGTAGTAAGGGAAATAAGAAATTTGTCCATCAAAGATAAGTCAGGTGGGGTGGAGCTCATCTACTTGTAAGTGAACTCAAATCAACCTATTACACAGGCCACAGACTATGATTGTTGCTTTTGGTCCAGAGCATCACCTCCAAATGGTGCCACATTAAAAAGGAAGAGCCAGTCTTACATATACCCAGATACCTGCACCCAGCTTCCCTATCCACACCTGCAAAGCTTTCATAACAGCCTCCATAAAACATCTACCATCATAGCTCACCTACATCCCGATGGTTAGCAAGAGCTGTCCCTGTGCACTCCTGGCCCAGCCGATTTGCATCTCAGCCTTAATGCTATTTACTCACAGTCCTGCTGTGACTGTTATCAGACACGCACAGTTTTGTGGTCAGCTACTGTGTATTGCTCTCTTCAGCCCTTCAGGTTTGACAAGGATGGATGTGAAAAGAAGTGAAAAAGTAAGAAAATGCAGTGTACTAACAACAAGAAGAACAACAAAAACTCTGGTAGCTTTTTGGCATTTGCACCTAACTCAGACATTTTCTCCGAACAATAAGAAGTCAATAAATCACAATAAGCCAGTTGGAAGTGAAGTGTTTAACTAACTAAACCACTGAGCCTTATCTGTTAACAGATAAGTGGGAACCAGATTAGGGAGATCACTAACTTTAAAGACAGGTAGCATGGATAGGAGGAGCAAAAACGATCTCATTTTCTATTTCTCTGGGTTACAATAGCAGCAAGGACATAGAAACAATGCATTTGAGAGAAACTTTTTATTAAAATAAAAAGTTATGCTTTCACCAACACTTTCAAAGATTATCTAGTTTGCACCAGTTGATACAAAAAATTATATCAAAGATGACAGCCAGTGCAAAACAGTCAGCAACAGATACCCTGCATCATACGATGTTTTTGTATTCTTTCACTGTTTGAAGTTAAAATTTAAGTATTTTTTCCCACTACAGAGATATTTATCACTATTTCTGTCCACTAAAACAAAAAAATATGGATTGCCTTGTATAATACTGTATACTACCAAGGGTCATTGGCCTAGGAAAATATCTAAATGTTTCTATAAAACCAGTGGAAACAAAGCCTTATGATGGCTGTTCTATACTGCAATTGTTCATATATCCCAAAAATCTTTTGAAATGGGAGAATATGAATCAGCATATATTTTAATAGGAAATTTTAGGGGAACATGAACCTCATTTAGCTGCTCTGCAGAATGAGTAATTTAAACAACATTTACTCTGAATAAAAATGCAGGTATTACTTCCTGCTTCTCCTTCACACCACACATGCACAAAAGGAAATGTGTTGAGAAAATTACTTTAATATTGATATTCTTCTTGTAATAGAGTCGTTGTTACCGAGGCAGGACTCAGAGCACAGCAGCGCATTATAGGGGCTGGAAGGTGAAGGCAAATTGATGTTTAACTTTGTGTTATGCTTTGTAAACTCGGAGAATGGAAATGTGAACCAAGATCAGGAAATGCTATTACTGGTCATAGAGAAGGGTGCTGGCGTGCTGAACCTCCTGCATGGGAACAGTCACGAGCAAGCAATGCTGCAGGAGCTGCAGCAATCCAGGGCCAGCCACAGGGGGAGCATGAGAAATGCAGTTCTTTGACCAGCTTCTCACTTGCTGTGGGCAGAGGGGAAAGGAGATGACACTCTTCTGGGGTGAAGCAGTGCAGTAGGACACCCCTAAAAGCAGACTATTTGCACTGATCAAAATGAAAGGCGGGAGAGCAGTGAAGGGTTTGCCCAGCTAGGGGAAGAAAAGGGAAAGTTACTAGTGATTCTTCTGTAATTATCGTTTGAGGGTGTTGTAACTCATCTCCACACTTTTTATGCATCTGGGATTCTGTTAATTCAGGCAAAGAACTTCACATTTGATAGACTCCATGCCAGTGGCACAAAGCTGATAATGTCTTGCCTAACCCAAGTGAGCCCGTAGGACAGTCCTGCAGAAGCAGCAGCAGGGCTAGGGATTTGATCCTGCATTCTGCCCTGCTCACTGAATGCATCCCTGTTATTCCATCCTCCCTTCTGCTATGAGCAGAAGCTTGAAAAAACCTTTGTGGAGACATAAAATGGGATCTCTAGCACAACCTGGGGCTTTGCACTCAGCTGAGTAACAGGAGAAGCTTAAACAACTTGCCTGAGGTTGTACAGCCAGAGAATGGCTCAAAACAAAACTTGTGTGGAGGAAGATTCTCGATCTAAATAGTGCCAGTGGGAAGGAACAATACCATTGCCCTCAGTGACTCCTACAAAACATCACTGCTGTCATGAATTCTCAGAATTAGATTAGTACCTATGTTCTATATGCACAGCATCTTTAGCTGAACAGCTCGAGCTGTTGTGGACCCAGGATACCTTCACTGCTTAGCAGGAATGGAACTAGACTGAAAGAAAAATAGTCCTTCTACAGAAATCATGAGAATGAACTCAGGACAGCTTTACAACTATTTACCCACACAATACTTTATGAACATTCAATGGACTCTACTTACAGTGCATGTAGCAATATAGAGTAATGGCTTAATGTTCCTGGCAAAACAGCCTCTTTCATGTTCCTCCCATGTTTTGCACACTTTCTGCAATCAGGCCCCAATTCTCCTTGTTGACTCCAGCACACTCTGACTTCCGTGGACTTCTGCAGAGTCAAAGAGAAACAAACCTTGAGGATCAGAGCTTTACATTGTGAATTTCTGTGTTGGCCTTCTGTTGTTCCTAAAATGCCTCTAGTGCTCAACAAAGTGTCCAGAAATGACAGTTTCCCCAGGAAGAGGTAACAAGAGAAGGGAAGTTCGAGAGCTCAGCTAGGCTTTATTTTAATCTGTTCAGTGATTCCTCATCACATCCCACAATGCCCAGACATATTAGAGAACACTGCTATCTGCATGAAGATAAAGTACCTTATCTACAATTATGAAACAAAGAAAAAATGAAGCAAAATCAAACTCCATTAATTTTGAATTTTCATAATAGTATATTTATAGAATTTGGCTTAAGGTAGAGTATTGTTGTCTTTGTGTCCAAAAAGGTTTAGGGATGACTACTTGATAACACGCCTTCTAAAGCAGTGTTTTGGTGTCTGCTGATGAAGGCTTTTTGTCATCATAGCCCTGTAAATACGCACATGTAATACATCTAAAACATATCCAAAATACCATGTTTAGAGATACTGTATTTACTCGATCCACCATCTCACACAGAAATCAGTTCCTTGTAATCAGTCCTTTGTCTGTAATGCAAATATTTATTTCAGTGTTTCTTACACAGAAACAATCTTGCCTCTACTGCAAGTCACACACACCCTCTACCTAACAGCACCAGGCTCACTCACTAGTCCAGTTTCTCAGGACTCTAACAATTTAGCTGTTCAAAGACAGCCCAATAATTTATACATGGTTTTCAGTTATTTAGATCTAGATCTCCTCTTGTGTCTGTAGATAGAGCATCCTTGTCTATATTTGGGTGCATTCCCTCTTTATAATCTCTTCTGGAGTGGTTGTTGGTTTGAATTTAAGGAAAAAGAGAGAAACATGAAAGCTGGAACATGTTGCTGAGAAGATTATTGACTGATAAATTGCATGATACATGTGTCTGCAGAATGAGAATCCAGTATAGCTGCAAGCCGTAACACTCTACAGGTCACACATTTTTTAGTGTAAATAGTCTTAAAAAAGTGCTCAGTACAACTACACCAATGCTTCTGTTGATTATAAATTCACTGTCATTTTTTTCACCAGGGTAGGAAGATATCTAAAACAGCATCTTTTTGGTCAAGACTTCATCTTGTCCCACTACCACTTGCTGCCTGCAATTAATTTGTACTTAATTCAAATAAACCTTTTAGGAATATTTTCATATATAACTTTAAGAAGAAATTAATAACTTTCTTGTTATTTCATGACTTAGTTCAAGAGGATCCTTTCTGACTCATCCTAGACGAAGCTCCCACTGAAATCACTAGAAAAGGAATTCAAGATAGGGCATTTTGAGTTTTCTGTTGTTCCGAAAAAATCCATGAAGTAAATACAATGTGGAGTTCCAGTAAGTGATAAAGTTCCTACTTGGTTGATGTCATTCAGCCTTTCTCTTCTTGTTGCTTAGTCAGGATTCTCTAACCACAGCTTTTCAGTGTCTCACCTAACATTTTCATTGATGTGGTTATTCATAAGGATGCTATTCATAATAACCAGCTAAAACCAGATGTCAGGAAAACACAGGAACAGAATTACTATGTTTTCAGAAGCTTCTGATTTTCTATGGGAAACCTGCAAACTCTAAGGGGGCACTTATTAGGTGAGGTTAATTTTTATCGAGTATTGAGAGTGAAATCTGCCTTAATTGTTCTGAAATAATTAAGACAATAGTTGTCTACATCTATATGCTTCATGTTAAAGTATGAATAAATGAAATAGCTTTTGAAAGCATTGAATTCCCTGAACATTAGAAAATGTGAAATGTTATTCATCTTTCCAGATCCAGACACAGAAACTCAGTTTTAAGTCATTATTTTGTCATACCTTGCAATACACCTTACATATTTGGGAATCAAACCAAACTTTTGAGAGAGGCTTTTGACCACTAAAGTCTATACACAGTAACAAAATACGAAGTTGTTTATTTTACAACTTGCTCTTGCAAGACCTATATACTGTACGCTAAGATGCATTGACTACATCTGCTGGTAAGGGCTGAGGGACCTGGTGTTTGACTGGCAAAACCAAGAAAGCAGCTAATGAAGCCAAACGTCTTCATGTTTGTAACTGTCATCCAAATTATACAGATCAGGACAGCAAACAAATCTGTGGGGAACCTGGATGTGCAATTAGACCTACATGGATAAAAAACATTTTCTTTTGGACATGGAACATAATTTCAATTGGAACTTCACAACATGCTGTGATTCACATTGTAAATATGGTCTTGTATTGACCCAGCTCAGAAGATCCTAAGCCATAAATAAGATTTCTGAGAACTAAAATAATAGTCATCAATTCTGATCACAGCCACATAGCAGCATCCTATTAACTTGGCCAAGAATAAGACATCAACATCTCCCTGAAATACTAATCACCACACCTGGAAATGTGTGCTCATCTCTGCTTTAAATCTATTCAGTATTTAAAACAATTATATTTCAATTAATCAACTGGCTTTGTTGATGTTGAGCGTTGTTTCACTTTCCTATTTTCATCACTTCTGAAAGGTATGAAGAAAACCTCCTGCCTGAGAGGGTAAAATAAACCCTAACTGGCATTGAGAAGTGAATTCCACTTCTGTCAGAAGAAACAGAGCCTGTGATATCAGGGATATCACACAAGTGTATCCTCTAGATCAGTTTGGCCCACAAAAAGGGAATATATAACTTCAAAAATTGTTTTATCTTTAAAAAATCTACTAATTTAGTGAAAACATTGTTAATATTTACAAACCTAGTTTGCCTGCATTCACATTTTACTTGCAATGAATCACTAAAAGGATTAGGAGGACAGTCGATCAGCTAAGAGGAAAACCAAAGTTTATGCAGACTATTTTTAGATTTGCAAGCCCTGTCACGAGGATGCTGCTGGCTCTCGGAACAGCCAGAAAGCGCTGCACTTTTGCAAATAAGCTATGGTCCAGATATATTTTAAGGATGACTATTTCTCTCCAGCTTTGTAGAGAAAATCAATATCTTGTTTTCAGATGTGTAAATGTAGTCGTCTCTCTAAAGTGCCCCGGTCAGTTTACCACACGTTCAGCAGCTGCTTCTTTCCAGGCTATCCCACGATTCCCAGCCTATGAGGATTGACAAGGCAATGATAAACTAATGTGCCCCCTCAGCTCTGTGCACGGCCCATTGTTCCGGCAGCTGAGACCCTCTGCTTCTATTTGCTTTCTCCCACATACATTATTCAACAGCCCAGGAAAAGGCCAAGAACCTCTTTCATTCAGGAATTTTGTATTAAAATAATCAATTTCAAACTGAAGCGGGGAAAGGAGGCTTGCTACAGGCAAGGCCTATTAATAAGCCACCAGTCTCTGCCATTTGCATTGGAATCATGCTATCATGAGATAATATATTATTATATTTCTTATCCATAAAAAGAAGAAACCTAAGAATGCCTTCCTTTCTTTTTGGGCGTAAACATTAATTAAAGCAACACCTTCCTGATGTTATATTTTGGCACACCATTTCCAACATAAACACCTCATTTGTGAGGGTCTATGTAATAGGCTACCTAGGCTACAGTTTGATTTAGAAAGTCGTAGGAAAGGAAGGAGATGTATAGTTTCACAGAGGACAGACAAGCCGGATATTAAAAATAACTTAAAACACTTTCTGTGAATGTTTTTACAGATGATTAAAATCCAAATTCATTATTATATGCAAAAGCTTTGCTGGCATTACAACATTATTACGTCATGCCAAAGAGATGTTCAACACTGTTAATTCATAAACTGTAAGACATTCAAGTGCAGTATTTCTCCTTACAGCCCTGCCAGGAAAGAACACAGGAATAAAGGCAGGACAAGCCATTACCATTGTACTTCACGACCTATGGCACATTTAGGGAATATAAGATCACCACTTTCAAAAAAAGCGGTAAGTGTCACTTCCACAGCCAAAGAGCAACAATCACACACACACACACAAAACAAAACAGAACTACAGAGGCATTGCTTTTTACATTATTAATTGGGTCTATTGATCAGAAGCAGTTCTGTCCACTCCCCAGTTAAACCTCCCTATGGCACTCTTAAGATTTCATTCAGTGCAACTTTCTTTTCAGTTTTCTAGAGACATACACGTTTATGGCTGCAGCATTTTACTTTTCCATGCTTGACATCTTGCATTGACAATAACATTAAAAAATAATAATTTAAAACAAAACAAAACAAAACACAGATACCACCAGCAAGAAAGCATGCAGAAAGCCAGCCCAGTGTCAGTGGAAGTTAACAGCAGTTATCGTACGGCTTTCAAATAATGCTTCAAGTGCCCACTTCTGTATTTGTGTTTTCTCCTCTACTTGAGGTACCGTGATAGCTCCTTGTTATGAATGTTCCATCCGCTGTTTGATTTTTCTGCTAACCAAGAATGGTCAGTATTGTTTAAAAGTGATTTTAACCTGATAACACTGGTGAGATAAATATTACATCTACTTAACCAGCAGCAGCCTTGTGAGCACCAGGGTGTGCGCGACTAACTAAAGGTAGTTGTGGACAAGCTCTGCTCAACTTCATTAAGGGGAACAACAGGCTAGTTCCAGCCCAATATCTTGGCTGTGAAGTGAAACAAAGTATAAGTACATGCAAAAAGTTAGTTGCTGCTGTCAAAAGTCTGAACTTGCATCTCAGTGGGGACATAGCAAAATAAAGGAATTTACCCAATTCTGATAGCAGTCAGAGGAATTTTTGTTTGTTCTGACACTGTCACCAAACATACACATTTGGAGATTCTGACAGGAAAATCCAAGAAACGTTTGATGGCGGAAGCACACAATCTGAAGTCAAAAAGGTTAAATGTACTGGGATTTGTGCTCATGAGTCACTTCCACAGCTCAAAATGCTCACTCAGTAAGTGAATAAAACATTCCAGAAAGTGCCGTGTACAGCATGAGGCATCCAGCTTCAATAAGCAGATATTTTTTGCCAGCG